TATATATTTATATATTTATATATTTATATATTTATATATTTATATATTTAATATTGAAAATATAGTGAAAATTCTTGATTTAAAGTTTTTATAAATAGATTATGATATTTTTAGTGAATTTAAATTAAAAAATAAAAGGTAGATATAGTTTTAGTTATATTATTTTTATTTTTATATTTTAATTTAAATTTTTAAAAAAATAGTTTTTTACCCACCCGCAATCGCCCGCAAACGCAAACGCTAGCTGAAACCAGCTTTTGATTTTAAGAGGTTGGGAGCGGTTTGAAGCGATTTGTAGTGGTTTTTGTGATTGTTGCAAAACGCTACCAACCGCCATCAACCGCAAAAGCTGCGTTTGCGGGTGGTAGCGGGGAAACCAGTCGGACAAGACTATGTGTTTTGCCCGCATTTGCGGGTCTAAACATTTTATAATTATTTTATTACATTTTTTACTAATCGAAAAATTATAATGATAAAATATTATTTATGTTTTATTTTTTTGAAATCAATAATATTTATATTTTCATTTAAACATTCTTACATGTATTTCTTTGTACATTTATGTTCCCTACTAAAAATAGATCATCTTAAAATAAAAATAACTTTTTTCTTTTCAATTATATAAAATTAAGTTGTTTACTTGATTAATATTTAATTATGTATATCTATTTTTCGGAAAATATATCTTCAGATAACAACACAATATATATAGGAATTATCTTATTTAAATACATATTATTTAGATTTTGGAAGGTTTGTATGATTATTATTATTAATTTTAATTATTTAAATAATCAAAATCATTTAAATCCGTTTTTATTAATACATCTTTTACTAATTGAAAGATTATAGTGATAAAGTATTGATTGTGTTTTATTTTTTAAAACCAATAATATTTATACTTTCATTTTACAATTCTTACATATATTTCTTTGTAATTTATATTCACTATTAAAAATAATTTTAAGATCGAATAATATTAAGAATCCTTAATATTATTCGATCTTAAAATTATTTTTTGAAACCAATAATGTTTATACTTCCATTTTTTGAAACCAATAATGTTTATACTTTCATTTAAAAATTCTTACATATATTTCTTTGTAATTTATGTTCACTATTAAAAATAATTTTAAGATCAAATAATATTTTTTCAGTAATATAAAATTAAGAAGTTGACTTGATTAATATTTAGTTATGTATTTTATATTGTTTTAATTGTTAACTTTTTTATCAAATATATTTTCAGATAACATCACAATATATATCAGAATTATCTTATTTAAAAAGATATTATTTAGATTTTGGATAGTTCTTATGATTATTATTAATTTTAGATTAAAATACTTTAAATTCGTTTTTGTTTTATATGTAATAGATATTATTTTCATTAAGGGTATAAACGATATTAACCACTCAAACTTTTAACGTGAGAGTTCCGTTGCAAAAAATCACTTCGCAAATAATAGTATAGATATATTTTTTCTCATGATAAAATGCAAAGATACTCTTAGTACGAATCAGCAAATGCCAAACTGCTAGTGTCCATCCTGTGAGGCACTGACGTGTTAACATATGAGAAAATACGCTTTCTTGTTTGAGCTTGTCTTGCAAGAAAATCTGTATGGATGTTGATGTTTCTGTCTTTGTAGACTACTTTCCCGTCTTGGTAGGACTCCCATAGTGCTTTAAATTCGTGGAGTTCAGTTGCAAAGGCTGGCCAGTCTATCATCTTGACTAACTCTTGAGAATCAGTAACAAAATAATTGCAATACTACTGGTACTTTAATAAGCATTTCAAAGCCCAAACCAAACTTTTTGGTTCAGTATGTAATGGCGAGAGTTGCTTATGGCACCCCTGGAGCCCTAGAATATCGATTGAACCATCTTGAAGTTGTAAGACCTACCCACTCCACTTGTGGTATCCTCGTTCTTCCATGATCCATCCACACGGCATATGAATGTGGGTGTTTCCATAGGGGTTCTTGATATGTATTCTATAATACTTTCCCCTGGTTCAATCTTTGGCCAAACACCATGCAGTAATTGAATAAATATATGTTTGTATAGTTATGTATATCTTTAAAGGGTGGGTTTTAAGAAAGTAGTTTAGGTTTTTATAAAAAAATATAGTTGTAAATAATTACATCTTCGACATGTTATAGTGATATATATGATCTCAAAGTTTATCAAAATACTGAAATATTATCAGTTAAACAAAGTAACTAGAAATATTATTCTGGTTAATATTCATTTATTATAGTTTGCAAAATTAATTCAAAGATCAAACGAATATAAGATATTGAAATATTTATTAAGGTATTGTTTCAAATAATATAGTCCAATGGAGGGAACTCCTTGCAAAAATCATTCAACAAAAACTTCCGAGTTACACATCTACTCTATTAAAATAGAGTCATTCTTTTTATTTACTGATATAAGTTGTCATTTAAATTTGGACTCTTTCTAAAGTGTTACAAATAATACAAGTCATATAGTTAATTGAACCGCATAACTTAAATTAAACCGATGGTTATTTATGGGATATAGTGTTGTGCTTACTTTTGTTTTTAGAACAAATTACATGGTTTGGTTTTTGGGCTTAGTATTAAGGAAAAATTCCAAAAAACATTGAATTAACTTTCCACCTTAATAGATCAAAAATCAGTTATTTTCAAGCCCAAAGGTACTTAATATTTTTAAACAAAACAAAATTGTCTATTATTAATCATTTATTTAAATCATGTATTTTAAAACATATTAATATATATTTTTATTTTAAATAACAATCACTTTGTTTTGATAAATTTCAATGGTAACTTTTAAATAATTTATTATTTTATTTATCTTAAATAATTTACTGATTTTTTAAAAAAGTAAAGCAAAACCAAAAACCAAATCTAAAAACTAAAATCCAAAACCAAAACTGAAAAAACAGGTTATCATTTTTTGCTTTTATTTGTTTACAAAATAAATTATTGCAAATTTCTTTAAAAAAAATTTGTCATATTTTCACTTTTAAATTAGATGTTCGATTATTTGGGATTTGTTTGTTAGTAATATCAGTTCAAACTAACTCAGCGGGTCTAAAAATTAAAAACCCAAACCAAAAGCTGAAAATCAAAAATAGAAACTTAAAAACTAAAAACCAAAAACCAAAATCTAAAACAAATCTAAAAATAAAAACTGAAACTAAAAACTAATAAATAACAGTCATCACCACAAATTTTGGTGAACTGATTTTATCCCAAAACATTCTTTAAATTGATACAATACCCAATTACATAAATTTTTAATCATAAAAAAATTTCGCGCTTTTTCAAGCAGGTCAAAATCTAGTTCGCTTAAATTGAATATAAGAAAACCAAAAAACTTCCGAAAGGAGATCAAAATAGAAGAAGTGGTTACAGTTAGATCAGTGGCCAGCTCCTTCTCTACTCGGCCCAGACGCTAACCCGAAGCCATAGCTCCTCATCAAAGGACGTCCACTGCTCCAGCTTTTCTTCACCTTTATGGCTGCCACGGTGGTTTGATCTTGGCCGTTGATCTCTTTCAATTGCTTGGATCGTACGGCTCGGCAATCAACCATCTGAAACATCAAAGACGAGCTCACCAGTAAAAAGATCATACACAGCAGAAACACATTAATCTTTTTCCCCATTATGATAACTATTTTTGCATCTACTTCTATCTTTTTCTTCAATTTCTTGTTTTCTTTCTTTTTGAGATTTAAAAGAATGCCTCCTTGATTTTTGTTTATATATGCATTTGTGTGTGCGTGTGTAACCAAAGGGCATTCATTCTTGACCAAGAATGTTAGACTTTCTCATTTTGTTATCACGTTTTTACATATATTCAGCTGAGTTCTTCAAGTTCCAACCTTTTACAATTTATATAAGCGAGAGACAAAACAATTGGTGTGCATTCATATTGTATGAGTTTCTCCAGACTATCTACAGAACAGATGATGTTGAACTCTATGACTTTCTTAACAACGTTGAAATTTTTGAACATTTGTTTATAAGAAATAAAAAATTAGGAATTAAAATCTTTGTATTTCAATTTGTGGTTAATGAAAAGTTTGACGTTGAGACAAAAATCACGGAAACGCACCGATTTCTTCTAAATACTGTTCCACGTGAAAGTAAAATGCAAGTCAATCTTATGTTCAGTATAATGTTACACGATTTTCCCTTGAAATTAAACAAATTTGTTTTCATTATTTTCCCTCCAGATGTCCGTCTACATAATACTTTGAACTGTCTTCACTAATTAGACGGGTGAGAACCAAGCGCTCGTAGTTCTCACCCGTCGAATTAGTGAAGACAGTTCAAAGTATTATGTAGACGGACATCTGGAGGGAAAATAATGAAAACAAATTTGTTTAATTTCAAGAGAACCAAGCGCTCGTAGCTTGTTGGTAAAGAAGGTATAGCTGTACTGTCTGCCACCCTGGTTCGAACCTTAGCCACAACGGATTTAACATCTCTTTCGTTGGAGCGTTGGACCCCCTTCGGAGATAGTTGGGAATGTGGCTGCCCAGATACCAGAGTTATCAGGAAAAAAAAATTTGACGGGTGAGCGTTGCGAGAAATTGTCTAAGATTGGGAGTTGATTTTTCAAATAGTATTCAGTTTTAGTTTTTAGACTTTGACATTTGATGTTAGTTTTCGGTTTATAATCTTCGGATTCTGGTTATAATTTTTTTTCTGATATTTTGTTTGACAAAACAAAATTGAATAATAATTAATTTTTAGTAATACAGAAAAATTATTATGATTAATAATATATATAAGTTTTTATCCTTAAAACTGCAATAAAATAATGTAATTTCATTTATATTTAAAAGAAAAAAGGTGTTTGTGTCACCATTGAAGCTGGTGGTCGAGATTTCCAGCTCTATTTATCTGTATGAAACTAACCACCCATTTGCTTGTAAAGCTTGCGTTCGAACTAGTTAACATAAGAAGAATTAGTTAACCATTTCAAGATGTCTAAAATGTTGCTTTGCCTTCTTCTCGTCAGGGCGTATTTGACGGAAATTGTGGTACGGAGCTAATACCAGGGAGGTTGTTACATTTAGGCTATGTTTCATAAACTAGAGGTGGGCCATATTTTTCATAGTCCATCTTACGTGGGCCGAAGACCAAACGTTCTAATTTAAATGTCAAAAATATCACACTTATGTCACGTGCCTTATCTTCCGAATCTTTTTTTCAGCAGCTTTCTCTCAGACCGAACTATCCAAATAATCGATAAACAGAACCGAATTGGTCCAAAATAACCGAAGTCTGCAGGCCTGAGTCATCGATGCCAACGGCGTACGGTCAAACGTCACAGCCTCCGATGTACAGTCTCATCTCTAAGTTCCGCCCTCTCCTTTCTCACTCGCCGTCGTCTTTCACTGCTCCCTCCCGGCGACGGCAGAGTCTCGCGTTTAGCGCTCTTTCAAAGACAAAACCCATCGACGCAGCGTTGATGAAGGAGAAATGGTTGGAGTCTCTCACAGCAGAAGAACCCGTGGTGATGATGACTAGGGAGAATAGCGAGTCGAGTTTTGTCATTGGTGTAGACCCGGACTTGTCCGGTGCTTTGGCTCTTTTGAAAATTAACCATGTTTTGTCTTCTTCTGAAGCTCAGGTCAGCAGATAAACCATCAGAGAGAGAGAGAGAGAGAGAGAGAGAGAGAGAGAGAGAGAGAGAGAGAGAGAGAGAGAGAGAGTTGTTAACCAAAGTTGATTTGTGTTTTGGTTTAATTAGGTTTTTGATACTCCTCACCTACCGGTTTTAGTTGGAAAAAGAGTGAGGAAACGTTTGGATGCAAAGTCAATAGTTCAGTTGATTAAAAGTTTAGATATACCCTCTGGTAAGCAAAGCAGATGATTCTCTCTCTTTGTTCTTTTGGTTCTTTCTTTGGAAGCAATTTGTGTGTTTTCACAATGCAGGAAGTAGGGCGTATATAGAGCAATCAACTCCCTTTCCAAAAGACGGGAAACAGGTCAATAACACTGCCCTTTTTATTTTCTTGAATTATGAATTTTATTTCTCAAAGCTGTGGCTTCTGTGTCTTATTAGGGTTGGTATAGTGGAGGTTTTGGATATGGATTTTGGATAGGAACACTTGTCACCTCAGGCTTTTCGGTTGTTCCCGTTCCTTCAGCCTTATGGAAAAGGCATTTTCAACTTGCTGGTGGAAACTGCACAAAGGTGATTTGTTTGATTTAAAAAGCAAAAAAATCTCAATTGAAAACAATGTTTTTGATTTTTTTTTTGGGTTACAGGATGATAGTAGACGAGTTGCATCAGAGTTGTTTCCTTTGCTTAGTTCGCAACTCAAGAGAAAAAAAGACCATGGCCGAGCTGAAGCATTACTCATTGCAGCTTATGGTGAAACTCTTAAACCCGCCAAATTGTTACACACGCCTCAAGAAACACTTGTCTCCTCTGAGGTTTACTGTTTAGAAAACTAAGTCATTGTAATGTTTTCTTCACTCTCAACTCACTAGTTTCGTATCAAACTGTTCTCATTTGTAGTCGATACTTAACATTGCCAACTTGTTAGTCAAATAACATGTGGACTTCAAAATTTGAGAGGCAATAGACATTTATTAAAGATTTTAACAAAATTTCTTTTTATAAATTTGAGAACCCAACTTTTTTTGTCTATGTAATTTTTTTGGAACTTTTGGAGACCTAAGGGCAACATTATCGTGGAACCTTATTTAAGAGATTTTACAGATGTCCCTTAACGTTTTTAGTTAAAAGCTTAGGGACTTTCTCGCTAATGGACCACCGATAATGTTGCTCTAAAGGCCAATGTTTCCCCGTTGACATCAATGAAACTTGAGAGCAAAACACAAACAAGGGAGCTAATATGAAAACATTTTACTAAAAAAAACACTAAATGTAGCTTAAAATCTTTTTTGCATCCAACACTTCCCTTATCTCTCAAGATTATGTACACAAAAGCATACACTTAGCTAGCGAGCTTAAAGGCATCAATGAAGAGACCATAAGTGAAACCCATCTTAAAATTATTAAGAAGAGCGATAGGGAACGTGACCGTGGTTCTGCTATAGTAGAATCTCGTCACATACTCCGTCAAAAGAACACATAAAACCGCAGCTATAACATCGTTCACTCCCAAGGCTCCAAACGACAGAGAGATGGTCTGCGCAACGTAGAAGCCACCTAACAGCGAGATTCCTCCGAAGAGCGTCCTTCTTGACGGTTTCTTGAAGTAGTTTCTGGAGATTTCAGGAACCGTTCTTATGATGTCGATTAGTCTTCTTGGACCTCCTTGTGTCTCTTCTTGCACGGCTCTAATAACGGTTCTTCTTGTGAAGGTTCTCTTAGGTTTAGAGGGAGAGACAAAGGCTCCGAGATTATGACATTGATGATGAGTAAGGACTAGAGGGAAGCTTAGAGAATGCGCCATCCTGAAACAATTTAAAGAAAATTGAATTTTTTAGAGCGATGCCTTAATCAAATTCCAATGGAATCTAATTGAAATCTCTCTACTGAAAAAAACAACAAGATATTAATTAAACAGAGAAATCGCCTGATAAATGTAATCAAAATGGACCAAAAAGGAACAAATTTTACGATTGCAAACTGAAATTAGGGATTCGATTTCTGAACAAGTAGTCTCTAAAAGAGTGACTTACCAGCACGATGAGGACCGAAGAAGCAGAAATTAATGGGAGAAAAAAAAGAGATGAGAGCGAGAAGAAGAAGGAAAGGCCCACTTGGAAAACTGGGCCCATTTAGTTAAATATATGAAAACAAAATGACCGCTACGAAGGAAACGTCCACTGACAAGAGTGTCACACAAAAAAAAAAGACTACTTACAAGTAACTCTTTTGATATATATATGAAACAACACACGATACTTTTTTATTTGTAGTCCATTCCAAACATTATATTGGGCCTGATGGGTGACCCAAAAATACTCCAGCTGCCTAAAACGACACCATGTGAACGTATTGTACTGTCGATAAAATTGTTATGTACTCGTCGTTGTACGATTATAATCAGAAAGACAATTGAGTAGGACGTGGAAGTGGTAATGTATGAGAATGTCTGCAACAGATTATTTGTTAAATAGAAATATGAAAATACGTATATTTTAAAAAAACGTAATCGACTCTTTGATGTCGATAAAGGTCAAAAAGCTAAAGACAGTTATGGATATCTGACACGTGTGAACACGGAGAAGGAATTAGAACCGTCCGATGGAAAATGGCTATTCCGTAATTTATGACTCATTCACGTGTCTTTTCGTGTGCCATTTCCTTACTCCCGAGAAAGTTCCTTTTTTCTCACACTTTTTTTTTAATATTGGATTATTTTCAGACAAAAGCAGAAGAAGCAAAGTTCTTCTGTCTGTGTCTGATTATACGTTCCGTCTCCACCACCATGACCAGCTCTTCATCTCCTTCACGCAAGGTCTCTCTTTGATTTCTTATTCCTCGATTTTACTTGAATGTCAATTTTTTGTCGTTTTAATTTTTTTTTGGTAAAAAAAAATTGTGACGGCGATGCGTAGGCGTTAAGCAAGATCGCGTGTAATAGGCTACAGAAAGAGTTATCAGAGTGGCAAGTCAATCCTCCCACTGGTTTTAAGCACAAAGTTACTGATAATCTCCAAAAGTAATATATTTTAATTTTACCCAAAAAAAAAGAAAATCTCATCAAATGTTTTTCTTCTTCAAATTTTTGATGGATTTTTTATTTGTGTGGTTGTAAGATGGATAATAGAGGTAACAGGTGTACCAGGAACGCTCTATGCGAATGAAACTTACAAGCTTCAGGTTGATTTCCCTGAACATTACCCCATGGAAGCTCCTCAGGCAAGTCTTCTCATCTTCTTTAGATAGAGTTCTTGTGTCCTTATTGGCATTAAATCATGAATGTGTTAGAATAAGTCTCGGTTTGTGCAGTTTCTACCTAAAGGGTTACTGTAATGTTGGCTTTACTAACTTAACTAGTTGATTTCATAGTGGTTTGTTGTGTAATTTTTTGCTAAATGTGTATGATATGTTGAGAGCAGGTAGTTTTTGTTCCACCGGCGCCTCTACATCCGCATATTTACAGCAATGGGCATATTTGTTTAGGTATCTCTTACTTAATCTCCTCTTGTTTATTCACTCTCTGGATATGCTCTTGTTTTTTTCCTTGTGTTGGATGATTTTTTTTCCCAAAACGTTTTCTTATAAGTAAATCAAAATAGTTTGCTTGTAAAACCAGGAAATTATTTGATGCATACATAGAGATAGATTACACTTTTTATATTTGCTGTTTTCACAATACAATTTGAAACTGAAATGTTTTTGGGAATCTCATAACTATTACCTTAATGCACCTAAAATCAGGTCTAATTAGTTAAACAATATGTTACACACATGATATTGAACTCTTAGGAGCAACTCCAATAGGAAATGTACACTTATACCATTTTTTTTTGTGCAGATATTCTGTATGACTCGTGGTCTCCAGCCATGACGGTTAGTTCAGTATGCATCAGCATTCTCTCTATGCTATCGAGTTCACCGGAAAAGGTTTCTACATTTTATTAACTCCCACACTTATTATTATTATCATCACAAAGCCAAACCCTTTGGTTCAGCCACACAAATCTTATTTATGTTTTATATCTGTCTCAGCAACGTCCAGCTGATAATGACCGATATGTGAAGAACTGCAAGAACGGGAGGTCTCCTAAAGAGACAAGATGGTGGTTCCATGACGACAAGGCATGAGAATGATTTGACCAAAAACATCATAATAAAAAAAAGAAGAGGTTTTATATAATTTCCCAAGACTGATAAGTACTAATTGGAATTCCTTGTGGCCCCTCAACTCTTTTTTTCTATCTGTATGGATGATTATGTATGAAAGACATTTGAAATGTCTCACACCTTGATTTAACAGTTTATGCTTTTGTCCTCTCTAAAGCTACCATTTGCAGCCACTACCCTTTTTTTCCCAAAGCTTCAACCCATTGTTCAGATTTGGATATAATTTCAAAAAGAAAAGAAAAACTAGGTTGTAATAAGATGGTTAATCCTGTTCAAATTTTCATCAATCAAAATCAGCAACTGTCCCTGGGACAAGATTCACCTTCTCCTTCAAGTATATGCTTTCCACACCCATCATATGTTAGCCATAAGAACCAATCATTTATTCACGAAGCTGATCTTTAGTTTTGAGGTTACCATATGTAGAGAGTTTGGTTCAAGAAGTTAATCTTTATTGTTGAGGTTACCAATTGTAGAGAGTTTGGTTCAAGAAGCGAATCTTTATTTTTGAGATGACCAAATCTCTAAGAAGGAACAAAGAGAAAAAGGCAAATAGCTTGTCATTGATGTGGTGTGAAAGTGAAAGTCAGCAACCTATAAAATGGAAAATTTTCAAGAAATTGGTTGTGTGATTCTTCTTGTCAACAACATAAAACGACGCAGTAAACAACAATTTGTTGACAAAAAAAAGAGAGTACTGGTTCATAATCTACATAAACAAAACATGACGGTACTATTCAAACACTCCGTGATATCTTGTATGTTCTTGTGCTGTTTGCCAGTGGAATTAATGAAATGACAAATGTGTTGAATCTCCATATCTATCACCTTTCAATCATTAAAATTCGAAGCGTAGACCGTTGGGAAAATAATTTGTTCAGTTCTTAGGAATATGAACTGCACAAGTAAAGATCTAAAAACTCCTACGCATTTGAGTTACAAGCTTATCAGACCAACAAATACAAATACAACCAAAGCCTATTAAATTTAAAATGGGTAAATGAACTTCAACTATGCAAAACTTCATCATGAATCCTGAGCTAGTAAAGAAACACAAAAAGGTTCATGTTTGCAATTACGAAGGTGCTGTTAGCTCGGGCAAATCAGTATCAGTTTTCTCGTGCAAATCAAATATCAGTTGTAACATTAATAGCTTATGCATAAAGCTTAGTACCTCTTACTGATTTGTTTTGTGTGTTTGTTTGATTGGAATTTTAACAGAATACTGAAATTTTAACATAACACAATAACCTCAAAAGAGTTAAAAAGACAACTAAACATGAAAATAACCATAGCTTATAAAGTTTGCAAACATTTTATTCACACACCCAAAGGGCATGTAAGCACAACCACCACACAAGGGAAGATGATTCAAGTGAAAAGTCTCAATAAGGGATTTATTAATACACCAAACATACTAGCAAATAAGTAGAGGAAGACGCATCATCAAGCTGCAGCAACTTGAGAGTGCTTTAGCAGCTTGGCTTCGATCTCGTCTTTAGCAGCACCAACCACCTTATCGACCTGCTCTGCTCCTTTCAGGTACACAAATGTAGGCATCGCCTCAACCTTGAATTCCTGAGCAACACTCTGCACCAAAAAAAAAAAACATAAGAACAATGTTTGTTTATTTACAACAATTAAGTTTTGTCTGATGAAAAAAAAAACAAACCTGGAGTTCGTCGACATCGACTTTGAAGAAGATCACATCAAGATGCTTCTTAGCGAACTCGACAAAGACTGGTGCAATGAAACGGCATGGTGGGCACCACGTTGCTGTGAAGTCAATCACAATCTGTGTTTGTAACAATACAACACATGTCTTATTATTAGGGTTTCATTGTCTGAGATCTGGATCTATAAAATCAATATTCAAACAGATCATATATTCAAAACCCTAATTTTGAATCAGTTAAAGTCAATCGATAGAAAAGTAAATTAAAAAAAGAAAACTAGATCTGGAGGAAAAGAAAGTACGAGTTTGTTGGATTCTCTAGCGGCCTTGAGCTTCTCGGTCCATTCCTCAACGGTGTGGCAAGCGATCACTTCTCCTGCTGGGATCAATTCTGTTGTTGCGGTTGCGGCCATTTTTTTTCTTTCTTTCTCTCTCTGTTTGATTTTTGGTTTTGGTTTGGATGAATAATTAGCTTTGTCTTGGGGTCGGGTCTTATAGAAAAAAGGAGGACGGTTACGGAGAGAATCTTTACATCATTTTATGCCTTTTTCTCTTAAAAAATATTTTAAATAGAATAATATTATTTATTGACCATGGACCCAAAGGATTTATCCACCACGCGGAGGAATACGATGCGTGATTGCGACATCCGACGGTTCTGACTGAATCCAATGTTAAATCGGAATCGGCATTGGATGACGCGTGTGGTGACGCTCGTTGAAAATTCGACGAATTTGCTAGAGGATGAATAAATATTTATGTAAAGAAATAATGATAATAATTATTTTCCTTTCTTAAATGAAATGTTTGGGTAGTTGAATACTAGATGTCTTCATATTTAGTCACAAATAAAACATGTCGACATGTATAGAAGATGACAAAAACATAATCAACCAAATTCTTGAAAAACTTAAAATGCTTGTTGGAGTTACGGTTGTTGCAAGAGGAAGGGATTTCTCAACCGTTGGAGATTCAGAGCTCCGTCTTACGGTTAATGCCTGTATCTGAAATCATATGAACGAAACTTTCTTTTGGATTGAAATAACATAAAAATAAACCTGATGTGTGTATCTAATACATATTTTAAAACTGTTTTGAAAACTCTTTATCCACTACAGAAACTAAGAAAGACAACAAAACAACGGAGTTTTCAGTTTTACTTCAGAAACACATTTGTCATCAAGCTTTGTGTCTGTATTGTGCCAAAATCTCTGAAATAAAGTAGGCATAACTCAGAACCATGGAGAAACGAGACAAAAACCAACTTCATCCTCCCTCACTCTTAATCCTCAATTGACTGAATCTCACCCATCATGATCCTGTTACTAACCACGTTAAATCCCAGAACCGATGAGCTTAAGCTTACTTTCTTCCCTTTCTTCCCCTTTTTCTTTCCTCCCACTTTCGAAAACCCTTCGTTTGTCTGGACTTTGTAATACTCTTCTTCTTCCGCCGCCTTGTTGTTGTTTCGGGTCTTCACTACAGACGCAGACGACGACGACCCCTTTGATTGAAATGCAATCTCCACTATTTCTGATGGTAGCAGGTCTTTGTAGTTGAGAAACTTGTCGATGAACTTGTGGTCTCTGTCAACCGACCCCAGATTTTCTATCAGAAGAGTTTCTGCTTCTGATCGGGATAGCTTCAGACAAAACTCCAACACACTTGTATCTGACAAAAGAAATATATACACTAATCAGAAAAGTAAAAGAGAACTAAAGATAAGACGAAACTATAGTGTTGTATGAACTTTTTACCTTCTGAACCAAGAAGCCTGAGACATTCGCTTCTGCACCAATCTCTGAAGCCATTTGCCTCTGGGAAAACAATAAGCATATGAGAAAGAAAAACAAACAAGGTAGAACATTTGGAGACAGAAACTGTCAGTAAAAAAATGTAAACCTGTGAGTTTTGTCACTTCCTCCTTTTTCCCTTTCTGGGACGCAGGTGAAGACGCTGAAACTGATTTCTGTCGATTCAGCGAGCTTCCGGCACTTCCCCTCCCAGGTGTGGTTTTGGTTCCCCAGCTGTTTTGACTTGAAAGCTGAGGAAAGTCTCCCCTGTGCTCCGAAATAACTCACAGTTAGTCGAATTCTTTCAACAAATATTAAGAGACAATGATAAAAGGCAAACAAGAGATAGACTCATACTGTTTTGATTCCTGGGTTGTTTGCTCAACTGGACCCCAGAAAAGGTCATCATCTCCCTTTGATTTTGACTGCAACGAAGATTGAGAAGCAGCCTGTGAAGGGGAGCGAGACCAGGAAGGTTGAGAAACAGCCTGTGGTGGGGTAGGTTTCTGGGTTGTAGGTGCTGGACTAGGAGGCGGATGAGATGTGATCGTCATCTTCTCCTGCTCCCTCACGATGTCCCTAAGTGAGCTAGGTTTTGTGGATTTCTTTGGACCAGTCGACCATGCAGCAGCTGGTGAAGGATTGTTCACAGTCTCATCTTTGGACCAGAGAACAAAATCTCCCAAAGAAGGCCCAGAAGGAATAGCAGGCAAAGCGTCCTTCTCCTGCTGCTGCACAATGCGAGAATTTTTTCCCTTCTCAATAGAACTAGTTGGCAGGGATGTATCTACAGTGGGAACCTGTTGCGCAGCGGTTTTTGCTGCAGAATTTTTTGCTCGCGCAGACTTCTTACGGCTCTTCTTAGTTTCCTTGGCATCAATAAAGTTATCATCGTCAAACGACTCTACGTTAGTGGATGTTACTTGGGTATATGTGTTGTTAGAAATGCTTCCAACTACATCCCTCTCTTTGACACCGGATTTGGCGACAACATCATCAGACGATAAGTCACGCAAGTGGCTTTGCTTACCCTTAAGAGCAGGAACACTTTCAGGCTTCACAACACCTGTTTGAGTAATAACTGACTCTCCAAGAGTCTCTCTTAGGTTGATAGGATCTGAACTGGTAACAATTCCACCCCAAGGAGAAGCCAAACCCACTGAATTCATAGGAGTAGCTATCTTTGGAGCTAAAGCTTCTGCTTGTGCAACCCTCTGTTCTTCCATTTGAATTTCGAGCAATGACTTTGGTTTAAAGCCAGGGGCAGGCTTCCAAGCACGTCCCGGTTGCGTTCGTGTGTTTGCCAGCGAAGACTCGTTCACACCAGATTCTCCCCTGACTGAGATAGCTTCAGAACTCATTAATACATTACTCGAAGGTGCAGTTGCGGAGCTCTGAATGAGGTGAGTATCATTGTCTGTCAAAGTGTCAGCTGGATTCATATTTTTACCCTTTATCTCAGAATCATCAGCAATTCCTGTTTCAGGTTGTTTTGCCTCCTGCAGAGAAGACTTAGAAGCTGCCTTAACCGGCTCAGCAGACTGCTTGTTACCCCGTTGCTTCTTGGACTTCTTTTCAGAAGTCTTCCTTCCTCCAGAAACTTCATTGCTTTTAAGTTCAGTTGGAGGAACCTCCACAGGTAACACATTACTTGCCTCTCCCTGTCCAGCATACACATCTTTAGTCTGTTTCTCTAGTGACTTACTGTCACTTGTTTCAGGAGTGGGGATTTCATCGTTTGGAAAGCCCACATGTCCTTCCATGCCAGGTGTAGTATGGTAACCAGGTAAGAGAACAGGCTTTTCTGAGTGCAAGCTGTTCATGTAATCCGTAGGAATTGTTCTTTCATAGTCGGACTCTGAATCTTTTTTATGGGTATCATCGATTTGGTCTGCAGGAACTGTCCCCTCACTCATCCTAGGGTCAACATTACCAAACAGCTGGTTTTGAAGGTGCAAAGGATGGGCAACAGGAAGCTGCATCTGCTGATTGACCTGTGTCATATCCTTTGATTCTTGCAGCCTAAGAGCATCAAAAGATTGCTGCAACTGTCCATAAGATGGCTCTCCAAACCGTTGTTGAGGATGCTGCTGGTCAGCGAGAACCTGAGAAAACAGCTGTTGTTGCTGTCGTAACAACTGCTGTTGCTCTTCTTGTTTTTGTTGTTGCTTAAGCAAAAGCATCTTTTCAAGTACTAGACTCTGTTGCTGTGAAGAAAGGGGTGTCTGAGCATTCAATTGCAACAATAGCTGTTGTTGTTGCAACAGATTGAGCGATTGTTGTTCTTGGGAGAGTCCAGGGACGAGCATCATATTAGGGGGTAACATGCCAGCTGGATTATTTTCAATAGGTTGACCAAGTAAACCTGCTAAAGGTGAGTTATGCTCTGGCTGCCTTTGCTGTTGGACCCCAAAGGAAGTCTGAGTTTGGAAACTTCTCGCATGGTGCATATCATCCTTTTGATTGGGATGCGACCATGCAGGAATAGGACCACTGACAGCAGGGCTAGACCTATCCTTTGCACCTTGGAGGATGGACAACAAATCAGTACTTGGAGAACGGGCAGGTTGTTGAGCAACTTTTGGCACATTCTCGGATCCTGGCATTAGGTTTGCAGATTCCCGACCAGGCCAAAATGAATACGGATTAGCCACTGATCTCTGTCGTTCATGTTCCAATTTCTTGGCCAAGAGATACATGTCAGCCCCACCATCAGTAACTGGCAAAGACAACCCACCAGAACTATTTACTGCATATCCTTGAACACCTGCAGGCACATCAAGGAAACAGAGAAGTTAAATAACGTTACTGGCCCTAAGCGTCTAATAGTAAAACAAAGGAAATTATCAAATCAAATGTCCAACGGCACTACCTTGAGATGTATTGTTCAAACTGCCAGACATCAACGATTCGATAAACCGATTTTCCGCTACCGTACCTCCAACTTGCTTATACCTCATATCATTTTGCAACATATCAATCTCCCCGATCCCAGGATGAACTTTCCCCACACCAGGTAATGCTGGTGTACCGGCTGCATCAATAAATTGGCTTGGCTTGGCACCGGTAAAGCCAGGTGGTGGTCCCGACTTAGCACGCAAATGTGGCATTACATCACCAAGTAATGAAAAAGGGGAATCGTTCGGTGCACTTGCAAGACGAACTAGCAAATCTATGCCAAAATACCCAGCCTCAAACCAACCAATAATATCAGTTCCAGGAAAAGGGCCTTGAATTAGACCCTGCGGATCTTTATAAACGAGCATTAGTTCCTCAGGCGAAGATGGCATAGGCTTTCTAACTTCTCGCTCCCTATCAAACACCAAAGATGGCTGCCTTCTTAGTGCAGGATCTTCACCGATTTGCCATCTTGATTCCCCTTTGGACTGTGGCAAGCTCATAACATTGCTGCCTGAATGGTTTATTGAATCTTTAGGGTGGGACCAGACATTGTCAGAAGATTTCAGCCTGTTATCAGCTGAAGGATCATTCCAATCATGTGAGATCCTACTCGATCTTTCTCCAGGCTGACGCCATGGAGACTGGACGTGATTGTTTCCCTGCACCTCATTGCCTTTCCTAAAAGGAGCGTAACCTTCATGAGAAGCTGTAAACATGACAGAAACAATCATAATATGAGAGGCTAATAGCAAAATATATTAGCTTTTTCACCTTTAACTAAACTGCTCAAGAGATTGTTTTTAAACTATGAGTTAAACTCAACAACAAATAGTAAAGAAGATGACGCAACACTAAGTTCCCATTTCAGCTATTTCAAACAGTACCAAATTGAGTAAGTCAACAACGCTACATGAGGGCTACAATACTACAACACACTGCTCAAAGAATTTTTTTTTAAATAAGAGTTAGCGATCATAGAAAAGGACGCATCAATAAGTTCCCATATCAGCTATTTCAAACACTACCAAAATTAGCAAATCAACAAAGCTGCATGAAGGTTACAATCTTACAACACATACCTTCAGGCCTAAACTTATTATCTGGATAGACCCTTGTTTCTCCACTCTCATCTTTGGATACGTCGGCAGCGTATGTCATATCTTCCCTGCTTCCAGCTGCAACAAAATATTCATTAAGTCCACCGTATGCATCTTATACACAAAATACTAGAAGCCTGGATGTCTTTCACGGAATTCTTACCAGGCTTGATTCGCCTAGGTTGTGAAAACTCAGCAGGATTTCGTCCACTAGGGCCATCCTTGGAAATCTGAGGGGCACCACTGCTCACTATTTTTCCTTTCTCAATCCCATCCAGAATATTCTGTGAGGAACAACAAGGGCGTAACGATTAAAATAGTGACATACTATAGGAAGGAGAAAAACATAAACTAAAGTAATGAATACTGACCACTTCCTCAGAACTTGGAGCGCAGATAGCAAGAGGATCCGACGGCTGCTCACAAGTAAGGGAAGGCACCTCGATGAACCCATCTGGAAACTTCTCAAAACACACTGTATCTGCCATCCTGTAAACATCCAACAGTTTCATTCTGCTATATCTCAGGTGGTGAGGCTCTCCGGGACCACTTTCCCCTTTTTCAGAGGCAGATCCAGGAGGGTGAGACTGGTTTGGTGAGCTAGTAAAAAGGCTTCCACCAGAAGCAACCCTTCCACGCCCAGCTGAAAAGACAGCAGTGTTGTCCCCACGCCCCCTGCTGTGAGAAAATGCTGTAACCTGCTTGTTTGGTGTTGACTGGCTGTGAAGAGATTCTCCCCTTCCTCGACCTTGAGAAGGTCTCCAGGGCCGGTAATGGTCTCCATCACTAGAAGGAAGAGACGGAGCCTTCTCACGAACGGTCTCACCATCTTTGCCAGGTTCATCCCACTTGTTACGAGTGTTGTCACCTTCCTTGTCATCAGGTCCCCAGCGAGAGTTCCACTTGCTCTCACGCCGCTGCTCTGTCCCAGCATCCTTGTTACCTGAATCATTCCACCGGTCACTCGGACCACGTCGCTGCTGCTCTGGACCAGCATCTTTGCTACCTGAATCATTCCACCGGCGTGGCTCCACAAACTGCCTAGAGCCCACATTGTCCCACCGGTCAACCTTCTTGTTATCACCAAAGTCCTTGTCCCCATTCCGCCAGCGATCATTCTTGCCAGCGGAAAAAGTATCCCTCTCCTCATCACGCCAACCCTCACGGCGGCCAGTCTCTGCAGCAAGTAAGGAAGGCCTGAAAACATCCTTTTTCTTCGGATTTTCCGGCGTCTCCTCCCCATTTCCTGTTGAGTTGTTTCCAGTAGGGTTATGGATCGCCTGAGCTTCCTGTAAAAATAATCCCAAGTCACACGTTAAACCAAATTAAACAAAATGCACAGAGAGAGGGTGAGCAAAATAAACATACCACAGTTCCCAATCCAGTCTTGTTCTCCCCTGGCTTAGAGAGGAGCCACTGAGGTGAAAGAGGAATCGGATTGTCAGAGCCCTGCATATCTGCACAGCCACACAATAGAGAATCATCATCTATCCCTCACACTTCTATGATAAAGATGAAAGCAATCCACAACTTTGGATCTAACCAATAAACTTAACTTTAAAAATCCAGGAAAAAAAAAAGCTGTAACAAGCAGAGAAGTTATTATCACTTTATGCTCCAAGCCTAATTAAACCCTAATTAAACAAAGATCAATCGAAAGAAACCAAAAACCCTAATTAAAGGCGACTCGAGAGCCTAAACTCTGTAACCGCAGGTTTCAATCGACGATTCAGTATCTGATAAAGAAGAGCTTCAATCTCATTACGGAGATTAGAATGGGAGAGACTCGAGCGCAATCGAAAAGAGAAGAATGGTGGGAATAACAATAACCTTTGAAGATCTGGTGAGGTGGATTGATGGAGAGGTTCTTGTTGCGATGGTCTGCGGCGGAATCGGAGTTAGCCATGGCAAGTTTCGTTCGGAAGTTGCAAAATACGAGAGAGAGAGCGATAGCGATTTACGGTGAAGCGAGAACTAGGTTTAAAAGACCCTACGAGGATGGGGGGGGGGACTTAAACGACAGCGTACGTTTAGCTTCTAAGCGTAGGATAGCGTCTTCCCTGTGAACTTAAAGAGTTAAAAATATCTTTAGACAGTTTTTCCATGTTTATCCACATCGTGTATTGACTCATGCGCTCACTCGGCGCGTGTTAAGCATTTGTAGTTGAATGGAATGCTCACGTGCTTTTCACGCGCTCTGAGGCGTAATGATGTGTTGTTGTTGTTGTTGTTTAGTCTCTGGCTAACCATCTTTTTTACCGAGTCCTTGAGATGCTAAGGAGTGGTCTCTAGGTCGTGAAGAACCCTTAACCGGGAATTAAAGAGGTTGGAGCAGGACAGATAGGGATTTGGATTGGGTTTTGACTTTTGGACAAGTTTGTTGGGTCAACATACACACCACATGTGGTTTGTGGTGTATCTTTACGTGTGGTTTGTAAAATGTCACGATTTTTTTTTTGTTTAAGCTACTGTCTACATTATTTTTTTGGTTCTTTGGTTTACATTGATTTGAACCGGACTTAAGATGATCTCCAAATTGGGTCTGGTTAAAAGTAAAGAACCGAAAATTATAAATTAACTAACACTGACATCAAACCAATAGAAAGAACTCGGATAAACTAAAAGACATATATCTCAACCAATCAAATTTTATTTTCTTTAAAAAACATACAAATAAAATATCTCTAGAAATTTAAAAGTGATTTTATAAAGCTACATCAAAAGAATTTATAGTTTAAATTTTATAGTAAAAAACATAAAGCTATAGTGAATCCTCCTCCGCTAGTAAAATAACACCAGAAAAACGCTTACATCAAAAATGCCTAAATACGCTAATCTGCGAGTCATCAACACCTTAACCAAAGCTCTGTGATGGTGAAGTGAAATAGAAATCTCCGCTACAAGCACAATCTCAAACAACAAAACATGAAATTTTTGTCGCACCACACTAGAACCTAAAATGGAGAGAAAAAGGAAAAACATGGCTCCTAATCAACATGAGGACCATCATCTACTCCAAGGAGGCAAACAAGGCAACAAGACGAGGAGAAGAGGATTTCCAGTTAGAGAAATCATTGGAAATATTCTTCTAGTCCACCAATCTATTGTCTCCTGGTAGATCAGCTTTTTGAAAGTAAAATTCCTTAAGACTCACTCCAAGTGTCCATGCACAACCAAGTTGCAAAGCATGACTTCAGATCCAATCCTCAAAGACACGATAAAGCTAGCATATCATACCTCAATCAACAAACAAAGTTGAGATATTATAAGAGAAGCAAACACTAAAGCGCATACTCAAAGCTCCAAACAAAAGAGACATCAGCCCGCTAAATAGTATCGCTACTGCCACACCGCACAAGGTCTTGAAAGAAGCCAAAATGCAACACTAATTTAAGTTCAAAACCACAGACAAATCGTTGTAGATGGAAAAAGGGAAGAGTGGAACCTCTCGCAACGTCAGCAAATCTGAGCGCCTAAATGATAATGGAAATAAGGTTGTGGCGAATTCTAGGATGAAACTTGTTTTGTATAGAGAATGGTGATCTCACCCTATTACGATTTATAATATTATTGGTTACTTTTTGAAAATCTTAGCGGTTAGAGAGACAAAGATTAGTAATGATATAAAAGAACCTATTTTCATTAAAACGAATGGATTTAAATGTTGATGAATAAACCGGTTGATAGTGAAAGTCATTACCTGAAATTAAAATTAAAATTAAAATTTAACCACCAGAATTCCGAATGGTTGTAACCTATATATAGCATTAAAATTCTGTTTGCCAAAAAGACATTAAAATTTTATTCACGATTGTTTGTTTTAAAATTAGAATAAAATATACAACTTAGAAATTTGAAAAAGTCATTTATATTATAAAATTTTATATTTTTTGATAAGCTTAAAATTTTATTTATCTTTAAATCATAAAGTCAGAATACAATATTTGGTTTAGCCGAATTAAATAAGTATAAAGTTAATTGTTAGAATTTTTGGAAAACAAGTTATTGCATAAGAAAATATATGCGACATATACTGAGAATGATATAATATGAAAAGTGAATTTGACGATGTTTCGAAATAAAGACTTACAGTATCTGCTACTAGAGAGCTAACTCTATTATTTTTCTTCTCCGGATACAAACTTCATGTGATGCAAACTTTGCATGTTTAGTTAGCAACTCTCGGCTAAAACAAATAATTACATACATTATAGTGAAACTCAATACATCTTTAACTGATATCATGTTTTATAATTAGGTACCAACGTTTTTGTATCTAAAAGCTTCTAGGTGAGTTTGGCTTTGACTTTGCCCCCTCGGAATGAATCCATGGACATTGCTTCCAAATGTTTTCTTTTGTTTCAATATTTCTCTAGATCCACACACAAAAATTCACACTTTTCTATCCTCTTTGGTTGTTGATATACAAACAATTTCCAAAGTTGAAAAAGAAACCTGTAAGAAAATATTCTATTGGATGTTATAAAAAGAAAAGAAATTTTTGTTAGAGCTATACAATTAAAACTCACTGACTGATTTGTGTGAAATCTTTGTAACTGAAATATCCCAACATCCAAATATCAAGTCTAAATATGATCTGATATCTGAATGGCTACATCTAATTGTGAGTAGCATATTTATGCAAAACAGTAATTCTAGTGAATACATAAAGTTTTTTTTTTTCATTTTTACCTGAAAATTTTTGTTTATAATTTATATATTACAAACTGTGAAAAAATATTATATAGATTTTATTATAGTCTATAATTATAACTAAATCTAATGAACTAGAAAAATAGACGAAATAGAAAATAAACAGAATCAGAAAATAGACCAAAGTTACATGGCAAGTAGTTAATAAAAAGAAAGAAATATGCCAAAAAAAAAAAACTAAATCCGTTGGTTACTTTGTTTGGTTTGGTTTGGTTTGGTTTTGTTGAATTCAACAATTTTTGTTAAAAAAATGGAAAAGGAAAAGTAAAAAGTAAAAACGAGGGACGTGTGTGATTGTGAAGAAGCAAAGGCTATGATACTTTTGTTTGGTTGGACGTGGGGGCATATGCCCATTTGTTATTCAAAGTCCCAGAGGACATATTAACTTGCCAACTTGCTTTTCCTCCTCTTCTTTCTCCTTCAAACTTATTCACACATAACATTTATTTAAATTACACAGTTAATATATTGAAATTGAATATAGTTTTGTTGTTATTCGTTGATTTAGGCTAAGCTATTCAATTCCCTTCTCTATAAACTGTTATTATCACTGATTGACCTTTTTAAAATCTCCCCCTTCATTGCCATCAGCTTTCTTTCTTACTTTAATTTTTCCTTTTTATCAATTTTTTCTTAAAAAATAATATTTTGGTTAAATGGTAAATTTCATTACACATTGCTGTCTCTCCCTAATAATCCTCTTGTCTGTTCCCATTTGTGCTTCCTTTTCTCCTCATTCCATCTTCTTGGTCTTCCTCTTCTCTCTACAACAAACCGGTAGGTTCTCTTCCTCTTCCCCCTTCATATTTTGAATCGCTTTCATGAATAATCTCTCCCTAAAATTTTGCTTTTCTCAAGATCTGTTTTGTTTTTCCAGCTCTTGTGTATCTGTTTTCTTTTTTGAAATTTCTGGGTCTAATTATTCAAAAATATAATCAAAGATGGTTCCTTTAGATGTGGGTTTAAGGTCATCTCATTTGAATGGATCTCTTCTATGAACTTGTTGTTACAGTTTTATTACAGTTTTTGTCTTTTGAGGTTGTGGATTTGTTTATCTGACGATGCTTTATCTTCAAGCTGTGGTCTTTATATAAAGACTTCGTGATATACTTTAACTTCTTGTGTCCTTGATTAGGTATTCTTTCACTCTATGTCCTTCAGTTTTGTTTCAAGTGGCATAGCTGTTGTCTCCTGCTACCTTTATAAATTCAGCTTTTTGTCAAGGCTAATGAAGTTTTGTTTGTGAATTATATAATTGTTTATGTCATTTATCATTAACAGTTCTAAGACCTGTCTTTGTTTACTGAAAAAAGTTTACTGGCATTGTTGTTTTGCAGTTCCCCCTAATAGCCACATTGTTGACTCCCAAGTGTAACTGTGGTTAAAAGTTTAGCCGAGATGCAGGAAGAGAGGACCAGTCTCGGCTATTTATCAGAGGCCTTGAACTTTGAGCTTGGTTCTTCTACTTCTACCTCAACCAATGGTGTCTTAGATCATTGGGAGAACATTCACAGTCTTGGTGATAACGACTTGCACGATTACATGATTGCAAATCCTGAACCAGTCTATCACAATGATCAACAAAGAAATGAAGTAATTGATTTAGACTCAGATTCTGAACAACCATCTGAGTCTAATCAACATGTTCATAATGTTAACCTGAATGCAGTATATATTGAACTTGACGAGGACGTTGATCCTGTTAGGGAACCGTCTGGTTCTTCTTCTGTGGAGGGACGCCGTGAAGCCTGCAAGAGGAAAGCTTTTGAAGGCAGTATTGGCCAATCTTCTTCAGGAGGTTATGGTGGTTTCCACCACGGAGAAAGCAGTTCCTGGACACCAGCTTCTGTGAACATATCTGGTTCAAGAGGACAGGTCTCTAGTACTGTTCCACTTTTTCCTGTTTCTGAAACTGCAGAAAGCTCCAGTAGAAACACAGGTCAGCAAGAAACTGTAAACCCAGCTGTCTTTTCTGCGGGAAGTGTTGTGAGGCAACAACATATGTCGGATTTGAGACATGGACAATCTTTAAGCAATGTCTTTACTCAAAACTCAAATTCTCCTGCTATTAGCATACCACCTGTTTCAAGGAATATGCTACCACCGTTTCAATGGAGGGAGGTCTCACTAGCGGGTGGATCATCAACCTCTACTGTACCCGTTGAGAGACATCTTCATGTAGATGAAACTAGGCCAAGAAGCATACCAGAGAATCCCTTGTTTATTCCATCTCCTCAACTTAGGAATGTATCTTCAAGTCAGAGTAGCAGTGGAAGTCTGAACATTGCATCATCAGTATCTTCTAATCTAGCGTGGACCCCTTACCAGAACCTTCCACATCAGCAGAGAAGAAGATCCGAACTAGCCCGTAGGTCATTGATTTCTTCCCTTGCAGGATCTGGTGATCATCCAACACTTCGTTCCTTGGCCCCTCCTGTCTCTCCGGATGGGCTTGTGCTTCAGCCTGGTGGTGATAATAGTCACACGCCTTACTCAAGAGCAGGTCAGTGGTTGAATAGACAAGGAGATAGTGTGTCTGGGGGGGCATCTCATTCTTTTCGTGCCTTGGCAGCTGCAAGCAGAGGAAGAAGCAGACTTACAGTGTCCCAAGTAAGTTTATTGCAAGTTCTATGGTCATGAAGCCTTATAATAACTTGAATGTTGTTTGTTAAGCTTTTGGTTTTCCTTTTGAACAGATGCAGAACATCTTGGATGTCATGCGTAGGGATCCGAATCATAGCTTGCGGCTTGAGGTTAGTTTCTCCTTTTAACCCAGTTAGAATAAACAAAGTTATCGTCTCTTGTTACTTTATAGATGAACTAACTTAACTTAAGTACTTTGAATGGGTCTGTTTTTGTTAAGGACGTTATGCTTCTAAACCAGTCATTGATGTTTGATGGGGCTGCTGGTATGCATGACCGTTATAGAGACATGCGACTTGATGTAGACAACATGTCGTATGAGGAACTGTTGGCACTAGAAGAGCGTATTGGAGATGTTTGTACGGGTGTAAACGAAGAAACCATATCAAACCGGTTGAAGCAGTGGAAATTCAAAAGGAGCACAAAGTCTCCACAAGATGCAGAGCCATCATGCTGTGTTTGTCAGGTACAAATATTTATGCACGTTGGCCGTTGCTGCAGTGATAATAACAAGAAAGATTTACGTTCTTTTTATTGGTTATGAATGGTGAAATAACTTGGTGCAGGAGGAATACAGTGAAGGAGAAGACATGGGGACGTTAGAATGTGGGCATGAGTTCCATAGCCAATGTATAAAAGAGTGGCTGAAACAGAAGAATCTTTGCCCAATTTGCAAGACCACAGGCTTGAACACTGCCAAGAAGCGGAAAATAGGATGAATGAGAGTATTCAAAAGAGCTTTTTCGTTTTTCTTTGTTTTTACAGTTCAACTTATAAACAGAGAATGAAGTAACAGAGAAACACCCTCAAGCTCCCACCATTGCAGAGCCTCTCACAGGAAAGTTAGTCGTATTTACAGATCCGAGTACGAAAGACGATTTAAGGATTATGATTTGGTTGGTGGAAAGATATGAGTGAAGGGAAAGTTGAGAGAAGGTGATAGGGAAATGTTGAGAGAATGAAATTGTTTTTTTCGTTTCTGAATTTGTTCGGATAACTGATTTAATATTATATTTTATCTGGTGTAGAAATATATATGTATGTTTTATGTATATTCTCTTACTAGGTGTTTTACCCGCACATACGAGCTTAATTATCTTTTAATCAATTTAAAAATCATCAAAATAAATAATTATTTGCATCCAAAAATTAAACTTTTCTACATGATAAAGTTATTCACAAATTAAAAAAAAAACTAATTTTTTCCTTTAAAACTTTGAAAAATCTAAAGTCTATTTCATTTCTTCTTAACTGATAAAAAATATAGAAATCTATCTTTCCATTTGAAAAATTGAATTAATAAATATACATTCAAAAATTAATTGTACAAAAAGAATAATATTAGTTTGGATAATAATACAATATATTTGAATTTATTTTTATCAAACACGTAGTTTCTTTCTTTTTTAATGATCTTTTATTTTATATGATTAATTCATGTTTAAGGCTTAACTATATAAAATATAAATATAAATTTAGTTTAACGTGTGAGTTCAGAAAAATAACTTCACAAATATATACATATATCATTATATTATTATTTTAATAAAGATTTACGTATTATATTTTTCAATTTTCTCTTTTGAATTATATACAATTAAAAATTTTATTTTATGAATACTTATTTATGTGTTTTTATTTTTATTTTTTTAAATTAAATATATTTTCCGAATAACAACACAATATATATAAGAATTATCTTTTTCTTTTAAATATATATTTAGATTATGGATAATTCTTATCATTATTATTAATTTAAATCATTTATCTAGTCAAATAAGTATTAAATTCGTTTTTATTTTTAGCTAATTTATATATTTTATTCATTAAGGGTATAATCGATATTAACCACTCTAACTTTTAACGTGAGAGCTCCGTTGCAAAAAATCACTTCGCAAATAATAGTGATAATAATAATACAATATATTTGAATTTATTTTTATCAAACACGTATTTTCTTTCTTTTTAATGATCTTTTATTTTATATGATTAATTCATGTTTAAGGTTTAACTATATAAAATATAAATATAAATTTAATTTAATGTGTGAGTTCAGAAAAATAACTTCACAAATATATACATATATCATTATATTATATTATTATATTATTTTAATAAATAATTACGTATTATATTTTTCAATTTTCTCTTTTGAATTATATACAATTAAAAATTTTATTTTATGAATACTTATTATGTTTGTTTTTTTTTGTTTTTTAATTAAATATATTTTCCGGATAACAACACAATATATATAAGAATTATCTTTTTCTTTTAAATATATATTTAGATTATCGATAATTCTTATCATTATTATAATTTAAATCATTTATCTAATCAAATAAGTATTATATTCTTTTTATTTTTGGCTAATTTATATATTTTATTCATTAAGGGTATAATGGATATTAATCACTCCAACTTTTAACGTGAGAGTACCGTTGCGAAAAATCACTTCGCAAATAATAGTATAGATTACTATATTTTGTTATATAGAGAAAAAGAAAATACAATCTTGTGTTTTCTTATTATTATATCATCTTTCCTCGTACGAAGAAAACTAGTCTATCTATATTATTATTTGCGAAGTGATTTTTTGCAATTGAACTCTCACGTTAAAAGTTACAGCGGTTAATATCAAAATTACATTTAATGAAATAGTTATATATAATTAAATTAAAAACAAATTTGGTATTAGTATTATTAAACTTATACGTTATATTGGATAATTATTATAAATTAATAAAATAAAATTATCAAAAAGCGTATATATAATTTTAAAAACATAATAAATCCTACATATACTCGGATGTTATCCAAAATTTTAACATAAAAATTAAAAATTAAAAAAATAAGAAGATGTATAAAAAATAATTGAGTACAAAAACCAAAAATTTTAATTTTAATAATGTTATTACCTAAGTGAGTATCACATTTGTACTCTCATGTTATAAGTTAGAATTACTTTTTTTAATTCATAATGTTATTTGCGAAGTGATTTTTATATTTAAATTCTTATATTATTTAACATAGAGTGTTTTATTAGATAATTGTTTATGAATTAATATATAATCTGGCCAAAAATAAAATATGTTTTAAAATAAATAGCAAAGCATAATTTGTGGTTAATATCCTTTATACCATTAATTGATTATAATTAATAAAAACACCCTTTTTCTCTAAGGTCGAGAGATATAACTTTTTTTTCATAAATCATACTGATTATGCAACTCTAAGATATAAACATGTTTTTGGAATGTTGTAATATAAAGCATTTTAATGAACAAATTAATTGGATATCACGTGAACAATAGATTCAGGGCTTGACTGGTAACAACGCAGTGATTGTAGTTACGGTTGCGGGCGTTTGCGGATGCGGGAGATTGCAGTTTTAAGCGTTAGTAAGAGATTTATATGACTGGTTCAACGGTTAAAAATTGTTGCGTTTGCGGGATACTTATGACTGGTTTATCATCAAATACTACAGCGGTTAAGTAATAAATTAACAATATTTATATTTTATATAATATTCAAAATATTAAAATTATATTTTCATGATAAATATAAAATTTGTATTGAATAAACTGCACTATTAATTTTTTAAAAAATTAAAGAAAATAGTTTTTTGGAAATTTTATAATTTAAATATTTCAGTATTTCAATGATTTTAATTTAAAATTTAAAATTTTTATTGAAATTTTTATTTTATATTTATATAGTTTTTTGAAAAAAATTTTATCCTCCCGCAATCACCCACACCCGCAAACATTACCTGGAACCAGCTTTTGAATTTTAAAGATTTAGAGCGATTTGAAGCGGTTTATAACGTTTTCTATGATTGTTGCAAAACGCGAATTACCGCTAACAACCGTAAAAGTTGTGTTTGCGGGTGATGACGGGAGAACCAGTCGGACTGTTGATGTCTATTTCTTGATTCTTTCTTAAGGTTTTGTGCGTAGGAATTTTTTTTGGAAGAATATACTTTGTGATATTGTCTTTGATATTAAATTCTTTGAGTTGAATGATACAACCCAAATAATTTTCAAATACTTTGTTAACTCTTTTTGGTAACCATTCCATTTGTATCTTGTATGTGATGATTCCTAAATCTTCGCTATGCACTTTTTGACATGTTTCATGAAGCCCAATAGTTTTTATATGATTTGAAAACATCACAACCAAAGTTTATTAGTTCCACCGATTGTGAATATGTATCCACTTTATGATCGAATTTTATCCAGATCTGATAAATTTCCAGCCAACTTCATTATATTTTAACTAAAAAGGTTTACCAAAACAATTTAAAAGTTAAAATGACAAATGATTTCTTAAAACTAATTGTTTAAAGTATTTGTAATAATATTAGCTTTAAGATTATACTTTTGAATTACTAATTCAATAAAACTGAGTTTCAAAAGATTTCTTAAACTTATGTTTGAATAACATAAAAGTTGTTATTTTAGTAGATTAAACACATCATATATATATAATAGATGTTCTTGGCCTAAAGAAACTGTATATATGAAGAAATTAAGCACCCTGAAACGTTTTTTATGTTTTTGTTTTGTTTTAGATAGAGCTAGGCCAAAGGTTAATTTAATTTGATTACTAATACTGCCTATTTCATATATTAGAAATTCGGTTCAAAGCCAAAAACATCATATACAAAATCTGATAATAGAATGATAGTTATCTCTTCCCTGAGAATCAACATCATATAATACTACAAAAGCATTACCATTCAAGTTATATTTTTTTTTCCCACTGAAACACAGCTCATACATCTTCTTTAGTATTTTAAAAAGATAAACCTAAGCTTTTCATTTTGTATCTTTTTTTTGAACTATAGCTTTTTATATCTTTAGATCGATAATTATAGCATAACAAAGTGATTAGTGTATCACTCGTATACCCTTTATGGAATATTAATTATAATCATACAGTATTGCTCTTCAAAACGTCTGTAACTTCCATCTTTGTTTGCAATTTATAGTTGGATGATTTACGTATATTAAACAAAAGAAAACGAAAAATGAGCAAAATTCAAACCATAGTCAAATCGTAAAACCCGAACCAGATTTTTTTTCTTCTTCTAATTAGAATCTGATCCGGTTTAAGTTTTACTTTTTAGCACGAGGTCAAATTCTAATATGGTCGTAAAGAGAGTTCAGTAAATTGTTTTTAAACAAAGACCATATTTTCATCTGAAAATCCAGTCGAAAATGATGACTTGCACGAGATTTACCAAAATTAAAAATAATATATTGAGAATTATTGACTCGAGTACGATTAATCATGAAGGCAATCTAATATTTTAATACCTATGAGATTTCATCAATCAAATATGTCTCCCGCGTAACGCTATGTTTTATCAACAACACATGTGTGTGAATAATATTTGGACGGAGACCAACCTCCATGATAGAACTCCATCATATTGCATCGCATTAACAAAATTAAACTAATAAACAAATACAAAGCAGAAACTCGTGGCCAAATATTAAAATATATTAGTCTACTGGTTACCTGACTCTGACATTGCATAAGTACACAAAGCTAGCATGACTTAAACTTGCAAACCAACTCTTCCAACTAAAAATAATATTGACAATCAAAACACAAACAAAGAAAACAAAAATGTCTACAACCGAAAACTATTTTGTTTTGGATCCGCGTGGAGCCACCTTCTCGGATCTGATACGTCTTCTCTTCTCCTCAGATCTCAGGAATAGAAGGTTTATCCACTCTTCTGAAGATAGGCTTGAAGATAATGATCCATGCAAGTTCCAGAGACGATGGATCATCTTTGTATCCATCGTGATTCAGAAACTCATGCTTGTCCTAAGGAAACCTCTCTACTTTTTTGGATACTCTCTTGGTTTTTGGTTCAACCTTCTTTATATCAATGGTGGCTTCTTCATGATTCTCCCAAATCTTTTCAACGGTATGGTTTTCTTTTGACTTTCTTGTTTAGAATTTTTTTTAAAAAGGGCTTTTATTTAGAATTAATTAGTATAAGTTGGTTAATACATCAAATCAAAAATAAAATACAACGGGAAACACGTATATTATTTAAAACCTATAAAATATTCTGTTGTATTTGTAATGATTCCAGGAAAGATTATGTGGCCAGAAGAAACATCGGCGACATTTGCATCTCTAAACGGAAACCTAGACGGGCGAGTAGAGTTAGACGGGAGAATAGAGAGAGGAAGTAAAAGATACAAAACAATGTTGTCAGCCATGGCATCTAAGCTTTCTTACGAGAACATAAACTTTGTCAGCTCTGTTCTTCACAACCATTGTAAGGTTTAATTAGTTACCTCTTTTCTTTCTATTAACAAATCTTATTTATACTTCTCTCTGAAAAAACAATCTTATTTCTTAGTAAAAATGAATATAATTAAAAAAACACATTAAATTAGTAAAATAGTTAGTTAGGGTATTAAATTAGATAAGTTTTTAGGTTTTGAGAAACTAATTTAAATTTAGTTGGTATATTTTATACATATTCCCAAAAGTAATTTGAATTATTTTTCTTCTAAGTAATATAAGTTTAAAGAAATTTTCTTAGAGCAACAACATTGGCATCCCTTATTTAGTCCAAAAAACGAAGGAACCCACAAAAATACAAAAACCGAGGAAAAAAGTCATTTAATAAAAGATATTTTAATTTGGTTTTTGTGCTTTTTCGCGGATTCCAGTGTTAAGTGGCGGTTTGCTGGACAAAAAAACAAATACATTTTTTTTAAGAAACCTTACCCAATAATGTTGTTCTTAGAACATGATTAACCTGGAGTTATTAGGGTGGAGTTCTTAGCGAAAGTTAAGAAACAGTTTTTTAACTTCCGCTATGAACCTACCCTAAAACCCTCGGGTTAATCATGTTCTTATATTTTAGATTTTTTACTTAAAAAGTTAGTAGAAGTTTCATATAAATATACGGCAACTGATGTAGCTAAACTGTCATTAGCTCTACCTTTATTTCGTCGAATTATTAAAACGTATCTTATAAGCATGATCATGCATGATTTTCTGTAATTAAAATAACAACAAAATCAAATCCTTTATAGAGATTGATTATGGGATGTGTTGGACTTCTAATCACAATGTTTATTATTTTCCTGACACAGATGGACTTATTGGGTTTCTACAGCTGTTGGAATGGTGAGAATGTTGTCCTTTTTTTATTAATGAATAATGATAACGATACTAAATTACTAATACATATAATTATGAAAATTAACTGCAATGGTCCAAAGAGGCAATACCACGTGAAAACACAGAGAAGCGTATTTCTTTTGTTGTTCCTTAACAAAATGAAGTTGATTCCAGTAATAATTGGCGACACCACACGTGAAATCTCTAATAATTTAATATTTTAACCCAATTTCATCCAAATCCAAATGTAGTTAGTCAGTAATGACTTCAAAGAAATATTTAATTCATTGTCTATACATGTCTTTAATTTAACTACATGTTTCTCTTCAATTCTATAAGATCATATATACCTTAACTTTCCCATAAACTATGGATTTTGAATTCATCTGTACTTGTATCGAATAGTAAGAAGATTGCTGACATATATATATAAAGATTTACATGTAACACATTTTTGTTTTGATCAACCCACATTCTTCTTTGGGTTTTCCCAGGTTACCAGGAACAGAGGTCAACGGAGGTTCTTGTGATAAAGGACACAAACGCAGATCCAAACCTCATCGTTGTCAGTTTCAGAGGGACCGATCCTTTCGATGTCACCGACTTGTGTACCGACTTGGATCTCTCATGGTGATTTTTTTTTTCTTTTGTGTTTATTTATTATATTCTGATTAATTCTGTTTAGGTTGGATATTATTCGGTTTATGCTCATCCCTCTCTTATTTATAGGTACGAAATTAAGAATGTGGGAAAGATCCATGGAGGATTCATGAAAGCTTTAGGACTTCAAAAAGAAGGATTACCTAAAGAAGTAAACTTAGATCAAACCCAAAAAGAAATAACTCCATACGCATACTATACTATTAAGAGCCACTTAAAAGAGATTCTCGATCAAAATCCGAAATCCAAGTTTATTCTGACCGGACACAGCCTAGGTGGAGCCCTAGCGATCCTATTTACGGGGGCGTTGATGATGCATGACGAAGAGGAAATGCTAGACAAGCTCCAAGGTGTTTACACATTTGGGCAGCCACGTGTAGGAGACGAGGAGTTTGGAAAGTTCATGAAAGATTCGTTGAAGAAGTATGAGGTCGACTACGAAAGATACGTTTATTGCAACGACATGGTTCCTAGGTTACCTTTTGACGACAAGACGCTTATGTTCAAACACTTTGGGGCATGCCATTACTATAACAGTTTCTATAGAGGAAAGGTTAGTTATAATTTATAAATTAAATTATGTTCTTTTTTTAATTTCTTTAGTCTAATCACTCATGTGCTCTGAGATGGATAAAGTTTTTGTTGTGTCTTGTTTCGCACATGTTCCTAAAGTTCTTTCTCCAGATAGAATGTACTCCTGGTCAGGACATGACTTCATATCTCGGAAATAGATGACATATTTTATACATATAAAATTATATCTGATATATATCCTTTCTGTCTCTTACAAGTTTTATCATATATTTATGTAATAGTTTTATTTATAGTTTTATCCTAAGAGAATTATAAAACTTGTTTGTTTTCGCATGGATTTTTATTTAGTTGTTTCCCTGACTGATCTGGCTTCACTGCTATTGTGTAATATTATGTTTAGATAGAAGAAGAGGAGCCAAACAAAAACTACTTCAGTGTCGTGTGGGCCATACCGAAGATTATGAATTCAGTGTGGGAGTTGATAAGGAGTTTCATCATACCTTATTGGAAAGGTGAAGAATACAGAGAAGGATGGTTCTTGAAGTTTTATAGGGTTCTCGGATTGTTAATTCCGGGATTATCTGCTCACGCTCCTAATGAGTACGTCAATGTTACACTTTTGGGAAACTTATTTGACTCATACCATGACTAGAATTTGGTGTGCATTGTTTCCAAATTATTTGTATAATTACTTTTTTTGTTCAACTTTGAATAAATGAAAAACGTTAGTAACTTTGAGAGAGAGTTTTGGTGAATCTCGTGCCTTATTTTTGTAAGCTCATATAATATCTAGCCAACTACGTACATCACTCTATGTGCCTCTTCTTATCATGAAAAGATTGGGTCCTGTGAAGAGTATTACTCCAACTAATTAATTCTTAGTTTAACATGAAGAACCAAAGCCCCACATACAAGATTCTATAAATCTTTCACCAAGTATATTTGGCATATAACAACCATATACTTCTTTTGTGTTCAAGAGCATACATATAGTTAGACCATAAAGACAATAAAGATAGAAAATTATGTTCTGCCCAGAAATATGAAATGCAATGTCAATACCCAAAACAAGAAATCACTAAGCTCCAAACTAAGGATGAAACTCAGAGACTACGATTAGGCACATGCTCATGTAGCGCATCCATAAATTTATGGAATTAGAAGTGATTTTCAACACTTTCTTATACCTAATTACGAGAAGAAACAAGTGAAGATACCTGCGAATATCACCATCCTTATAGGCTGGAAAATACAGTTTGCGATTGTTGTGAGAAAATACGATTTTATGGATTTGATAAAAATGTGATTTTATGGTTTTAGCAGAAAAATATAATTTATATCATAACTAGTGGTATTCCGGCGCTACGCGCCGGGTTCGTATGTTTTGTTTTCTAACGCCGGGTTCGTATGTTTTGTTTTCTAATGAGTTCAATTTTTTTTGATCCATGTGATAGTAGTAAAATTATAATACATAGATCACATTTCTCGCAAGAAGATTGAGTCGGAGTAAAATACAAAGCTCTAGCATTCGCTATAGATTAATTTTTATCATTTGCATGGAGGTAGAGGTATGTACTGATAGTTGCATTTTCTTAATTCTCTGATATCATATTTTGTATGCTCCGAGAGCACGTGAATCCTGTGTGTTAAAACATTGATCAGATTAATAAATAACAAATATTTTTCTGTAGGAGTAATTTATATAATTGTTTATATCTAAATTTCTCTATTTTCAAATATTACACTTTAATGTGTATTCTCATTTTCCAAAATTAAAGATCTTGTATTGTCAAAGACTTCCTCATAATTTAAATTTTGAATTTATTATAACATTTAGTTTTATCATTTCTTTCCAATTTTTCCCAAGTTCATCTTTTCATTTTTTCAGAATCAACAGCTCATGGAGATTTTCTTATCCATTTTTCAGATTTTCTTATGTCTTCTCTCTTCGATTTTCTACTTCTCTGTGTTTCTCATTTCTACACCTCAAAATCCCTCAATCTCTTATCTATCTCAGCCCATCATTTTGCAAAAGTTTCTGCAATTATTGGACCAAAGGCGGCGTTCTCGTTAACATCTCCGTCTGTGGTGGTTCTCGCAAGAAAGTAAAATGATCTACTTCTTCCAGATTTATGGAAATTTAATAGTAGTATGTGGCTGTCTCTATAAATTTTGTAGATAACATACATATTGGCCAATGTTATTATTCAATGCAAATGCAAAATCACAACATCGATATATAACACATACGAATAGTTAACATAAAACAAATGATATTGGACAATAGCAAACACAACAGCCAAATATACCAATAGTTAGAGATAAATTCTGAAAAAGTTTGTAACTATCTCCAGCCTAAGAATTATTCATAATCTACAAATCTTTGACAACTTTTTTTATAAAATCTAACAGTCGTCATTTGCTTAAATTCCAATTTATACTAAACCCAGTAGGTTTGCTCATGAGCTAGAAAACAAAAATTTTAATATAAATTAATTATTTTGTGAAACTTGGGATAAAATATTGTTTCTTTTAGTACGATTTTATTACTCTTTTATAGAGATCATATTGTTAATAGATTTTTTGGTTTAACCAAAAAAAAAAAAACGTTTACAAAAATGTAACACATCGCAAAACCAAATCTTTCTGTATGGAGAAATGATTTCATAGTGATTTTGTGAAGGCAAGAACGCTCTAGGATTTCGTCATTCGAAAAGTTGCCTATGGGTTTTTGATAGTTAGATCTGTGAAACCTAGAGTTATCATACACAAAATATGTTTCTTCCCACATGCCAATGTCCTCTTAACTCTTATGTATGTCCACATCAATAATGTGGCACGACGATCCCACGTTTGCCTCCTCACCTACGCTGCTTCTGCTTGTCATCATTATGGCCTTATTGGTGAAGTTGTTGGTAATACTGAGACTCGTTGTGGTCATGACAATCAAGCTTCTTCTTCAAAATGTATTCGTACTGCCAATGATGATGATGATGTCTGTGTATCTGGTGTGTCCTACAATGATGATTATGCGTTTTGACACCATGACAAAGTTGGTGATGGTGATGGTGGTAGTTTATGGCGTTTTCTTTGGCATGTATTAACCTATGATGATGGTCTGAATCAAAATGAGCTTCATACTAAACGTATAAATAGATCAAAGAGTCCCTTTTGATGCAAGAGGGAGAGAAGAACAGAAGCTGTGAGGTGTACAAACAAAACATTAGTTAATTCGTTTTGTAACTGTAATATCAATTTTCTGTTGCAGTTTGAAACACTTACTGGTTAGGAAGAGAGCGAGGAGGAGGCCTAAAATAGCCATCCAACATAAGCAAACGTATTGACCGTGGCAGCTGAAGTGGAAGAAACTTAAGCATTTGTTTCTGCAAAGAGAATTAATTAATTTACAAAGACAGTCAACAGAACCAAAAAATGTGTAACCTGAAAATTTCTCTGGTGATGAAATCGACTAAACCATTCAAGAGTTTAGTCCATATTAGCCTAATCGATTCAAAGAAACCTTTAGGATGAGATCCTGGAATTTGAAATAGATTAGTAACCTGCAGGTTTAAAAACACATCAGTTAATGATCTGCAAAGGATTTTCTCAAGAATGGATTTAAAACTATAAAGGAAACTGAGTTCCATCGTTGAGTACAGTAGTTGTCATTCTGAACTGATACTCGTCTCTGCCCACTTCGCTGAACTGAGAATCCTTTAAGTATAGCTACTTACACACAAAGACAACAGAGCATATGTTATGCAAGGAATCAGGGAACTGTAAGAGAAACATTTAGATTTGTTATAGTATACGTTTTGAGTAAGGACTAAATCACCTGTGCATATGTATTTTGCAGCATGATCGTTGGTAGGAAACAACTTTAGGATCAAGTTGTAACCCCTTTTGGTTTTATAATAAAGAATTACTCCTAAAACAATATATAAATGTTTGTATCATTCCTCTAACCAGTAGAAGGTTCTTGAAAGATTAACTGAGAGCTAGTTTAAAACACATTAGTTTCTGTTCTGATCTAAGTGGTCTTACATACCCGCCAATTAAAATTGTTAACATCACTCGTTGAATGGTATGAGTTTCATCGTTGTAGATGGTTTGATGCCAGGAACCTCACCAATGATATCTGTCAAAAGAACAATAACATAAGCTGAACATGGAACATCTGCGACTAATATAAGATGAGGAAAATAATTGAGTTGGAATACAGACCTGCAACTCGGAGTTCGTGCTAGGCAAACCCATGAGTTCTTCATTGCTGGGATCTTGCAAATTTATAAGAGAACTTCCGCCGGTAAATTTGGAAGATGAAGAGCTCGATTCAATGCTCGAGAGTGGGACGGGTGGGATAAACCACGTAAATACATGGATTTAAGAAGCACATAAATGAAAACTTAAGCTGTTACAGAGAACTTGACGGAGCCGGCACTATAAGACAAGGGAAGCGGCGGTGAGCTCTCCTCGTCGGTATGGCCAAAATGATAAAACAAACTCTATACAATTGGGCTTGAACAAAAGAATGCAGAAGGGCCCAAACAGAGAACAATTCTTTGAACGTAAATAAAACCCATAGTGATTTCGTACACGGCAAAAGGAGAGTTCATGACATGCCAGGTGTGCAAAAATCCCCCATCCTTCAGAGTGACGTGGACGCCTAAAAAGGCAGATAAGTCTACTTTATTTATAAAGATTATAGTCAACCTAAAATTAATAATATGATTAAATCAAAATAAATGTATATAAATCATTTGCTTAAATTCATATGTCATGATTATAGTTCAATCTAAATTAATAATATGATCAAATCAAAATACATGTATATAAGTAAGTTAAAAAAAAAAGTATATAAGTAAGTTGTTTACTAGATTCATATAGATAAATAAGATGGAGATGAACAAACAAACATAAATCCATTTAGATGAATCATCTATATGGAGAATCAAACAGTCTAAACAACATGCAAATCGATCATTTGATAGATCATCTTAAGAGATCATCTAGATGAAGATGACAGATGAAAAACGAACAACCCCACACACATGTGTTCCAACTCGTTAACCTTCATCAGGTTAGGGTTCTCTATTCACTCCTCTCTTCATTCTAGCACAAACATGTATAAAAATACGCTCAAATGTTTAAAAGACTTTGTGTAAAGAGATTTGTTCAAAAATATAATAGACTAAGTTATTATTTATGTTTAAAGTGTGTTGAGGTTAGAAGTTCAATGACCAAAGATATTATACAAAAAGTTTATGCACTAAAATTATGCTTAATTACCAAATAGATGATATATTTTATTGGAATATATATTCTGATGATGCTGTTTTCAGGGAGAGATGATGATGTGTATGGATGCAATTTTTTCATTGTCATAGTTTATTTAATTTTATTACATTGATCGGTTTTTCATATCATTTTTTTTAACAAAACACTGAAGAACACACAAGTCATAAATACCCAATGTGAATTCTATAAATACATAGATGAAAAATGTATCACTTATTTAAAGTCTTTGTAATACAACGATAACATCACGAATCAAAAAGAATCATACGCAAGCAGTGCAAAAGAACTACGATGTGAGTGTTTTAAAATTCATTTAATGAAGATTTTGCAGAATTATTTACCAAGACATTTTCATTAAGTATTTTTGACAAGTTAATTCATCATATTGGATTACACCATCTCTAATATCTCAAATGATATTATGTTGAATTTTATTATTACAAATTTTAACGAGGAAAGATACTATATGGCTTAAAAATTATTTTTTATAATGGAAGTTCAAAGGGAATGTTATAAATATTAGATATGAATATCCATTATATAAATTATATTTTAAATATATTTTATCTAAATATTTACTTATTTCTATATATATATATATATATATATATCTTAGTTTCCTATGAAAGTATATAATAAGGCCAATCCCTCCTTTCTTTCTTTTTTCTATTCACATCACAAATCATTATTTTTACCTTTTCAATTAATTTTATACCTAGAATACATTAACAATTGTTTCAATATGAGTAAGAAAATGGAAATAAATTTTCATAGAACTTGTTGAAAACACATTTTCACATACATTGTTTAATAAAGAAAGATGATTAAGAAAAAGAAAAAAAACATCTTAAATAATCAAAAAATTAAAAATTGTAAATCAATAAAAATATAATGATCACAAATAAAATAATATATATTTTTTACTGTAAGATCTAATCGGTTTGATAATAAATAAAAGATCACTTTGGCTATGATCTCTTGATAGTTTTTGAAAACTTTGTAATAGTTTACTATATCAATAAAGAGTGTTCGTAGAGATTTGGACAAATTTCATTTCTCAAACCTAATAAAATATATTTTTCTTTAAGGTTTGAATTTGATTTTTGAAGAGAGTTTAAACGCTCACGGATCATTCAGTTTTGTATTTGCTCTTTTAAAAATTATGAATCTTGGTTTATAATTGAATTCATCTCATGTTTTATAGTACATTACTCAAAGTTTTCACCAATAAGTAATAACAATGGTTTTAATAGATACATGATCAGCTTTATCAAACCAATGAAGCCATCTTAGCAAACAAATTGGTTGGCATAGTGCTAGGTTGTTGAGGTGAAATTCTACCACAAAACATCTCATCTTAATTACCATGAAGTCACATCAAAATATATAAGGTTTCCATTTCAAAAAAGATTAATGTGATTCATATAAGCTATAAATAATAATGTAACCAACAACATGGTTAAATCCAACTGTAATAACCCTAACAAACTAGGAATTTTGGGTTAAACACATTGTTCTGATAAGTATGTAGAACTGTATTGGATATGGCGTCACTCCCATCCTTACCGCGGTGACACATGGAGAGTAAGATCATCAGAAGGATGAGTTTTATCTTGTACAATCAGTTTCATTAGGATATCTGCATCAGTGTTTCTGATTTGATCCTTAAAGAGAAGGGATCCACAAAAACACCAGGACCAAGGAGGAAAGTCATTATATAAGAAACGTGCTTGCTGGTCCTTGTTGCTTCGTCCTTTGCTTTTTTATTTATTTTAAGGACTTAAAATCGTCCCAACGATAATGATGGCGTTACCATTGTGGATTGATGTTGTTCAGAATAAGCAAATTTAAAAAATGAAGTTGTCCGATCAGTTTCGCTTGATTATCTTAAAAAACAAACGAGGCTTGCCGAAAAGAAAAAGAAAATGTATATACATAAAGAGATAATAGTAAATAAAAAATGTGGGGAAGAAAATATCTTTGATATTTGAGAAAAAAAAAATATCTAAAGAGGTTTGATTCCAACAAATTGACAGGTGATGACGTGGCAACATAACCACGTGTAAAAGCGTACTGTTCTTCTTGTCTTTCCATGTCTCTTTTTTCACATTCTCATCTCTCTTTGATATTTTTTCCTCGTCTCTCAACAAAGATAGATAGCCAATGGCTGGTGATTACAGAGGGAACTATATCTTGAGCTCCGACCATGCTTCATCTGTAGAGCTAGACACAACTTCTTCTATGGTATATATCTCAAATGTTACTGATTCTTTTTTTTTTCCGCTTTTTAAGGATCTGATGTCACAGTAGTTTGTATAATTTTTCTTTTTATTAGTAGTTTGTATAATTTGATGTTTCATTTTAAACATGTTGCAGTATTCCACGGGAAAAGGGTGTAACCCTACAGAATGGACTGATGAGAAGCATAGTATGTATCTTAAATCAATGGAAGCTTCCTTCATACATCAGCTTTATAACTTAGGAGGAACGTCGAGAAGATTCAGTAGCGGTGGAAAACAATCTGAAGAACAGGTGTGAATGAGACGTTTTCCTCTGTTTTTTTTTCTTTCCGTAGCTGATGATGTGATTGGATCATCGAAAGTTAGTCTTTGTCTATATTGTTTTTTTTGTTATTTTAGTTCAAGGTTCTTCGTGATGTGTTTATGGCAGAAGATGAATTTTAGACAACTTCATGAGTATTGTGTCAAAGGAAGACACGGTGGTGGTTCTCCTCATCATGAGTGTCTTAGGAGTCCATGGATCAAGCACTATAAGCCTTTACCAAAGACTCAAACTCCGGTAATTATTGAAGGGAGTACCAAGCTTGAAAATCAAGTGGTTAGCTCGAAGGGTTTAGTCATATGCAGCTCTGGTTCAGCGTCTAATCTCAAGAACATGCTACGAGAAGGATGCTCTCATTCGCGTGACCGGGATCAAATCAGCATAGGAGAAGATGAAGGTATTAGTTATTTCTCTCGCTCGTTTCAAATATATATGTTGTGTTTATTGGAGATTTGTATACTAAAGTGTTTCCTATTTGGCTGATTTTTATTTTTCACAGGAGAGGTATCTGATCAAAACTTTGTTAACGAAGTAACAAAAGGGGAAAATCGAAGTTCGAAGAAAATGAAGACAGTGATGAACGGATCGTCAATTACTGATCAGGTGAACTTCTTTTCCACCAATTGTAGTTTGATCATAGCAGTAAATGTGATCAAGTGATTGATCGTCTTGTTCCTTGGCTTGTACGTAGGTTGTTCCACTCAGAAAAACTCCTGCAGACATGACGTAAACTGAAGTCTGTTTCTGATGAAGAGGTCGTTACAACTGGGTATGTGGGGAGTGATTTGTAATATATTAGTGTAAGAAAGTCAACTTACTATGGTTTTGTTACTATTTACATGTGTCTTCATCGTATATCCCTAACTATACATATATTGTATTCTCGTGTGAGTGGCATTCAGATGTAAAATACTCCGGATACCCAATCATTCCCAGACTTCTTATAATATAAGTATCTATTTACTTCTGTATAAAATATTATAGACATTCTGATTCGTATGTGTTATATTTATGATAAAAAGTGTCATTATATGATTTTTTTCTAAATTAAGGGGGTGTATTCAATTTAACATTTGATGCGATTTGATTATTAAGGAGTTTTAGATGATTTCGATAAATCTCAGAGATTTAGGTGAGTTTTGTTAACTACTCTAAAATATCAACTTAAAACCATGAAATTTGGATTTTAATTTTTTTAACTAAGAAACTCCATCCAAACACCTTAAAATAACAACAGATTTTAGAATACTTTACAAAATGTCAAGTTCAATAACAATGGATTTTAAATGCATTTTTAAAATTCATGTTTGAATAACAGTGGATTTATCATTTTAATATAAATCACCTACAATTTTCGGTTGAATACATCCCCTAAACAAGTACTAGGTGATTGCTGGCACTCATACGCATAATGAAATTTATATACAAAAAATTGTTTGAATACTAATTTTGATTGTTCAACCATCGTTTCATAAATTCCCAACCGTATAATCATGGACCGTTAATATAAGGTTGAATATTAATTTGAATACAAAAAAAATGTTTGAATACTAATTTTGATTGTTCAATCATCGTTCAATAAATTCCCAACCATATAATATCATGGACCGTTAATTTAAGGTTGAATACTAATTTGAATACAAAAAATTGTTTGAATACTAATTTTGATTGTTCAACCATCATTTCATAAATTTCCAACCGTATAATCATGGACTGTTAATATAAGGTTGTTGAGTATCGGACCATGTTGATATTTTTTATAAATCTATTTAGTTCGCATTGAATTTCAATGATATATGTGGGATGTTATCATTCACATTCTCATTTCAGTATAAAAAAATATATTTCTGAAATGATATGATCAAATGAGATATGTGTTTACGCGGAATGAACATTAATTATGTGTTGCTAAAGAAAAAAACGTTAATTATGTATGTAAATACATATAATTTTTTTTGTTCATTTACGTATTATGCAATAATAAATATAATAAATAATTGAGAATTAAGTAATCATTACGTATATACTTAAATTGGAGTAAGCAGATAAAGAAAAATAATCTTTTTTATTTACAATAATTTGGAGTATTTATTTTATACGGCAAATAAATAAAATTAAATAATATTGATGTAGATATATAATATATTTTAATAGGAATATTTATTATTGAGGCTTTGTACTCATATGATTTTATTAACATTTTTATATTTTTGAAACAAAAAAATTATTATATCAATATGAATATTATTAATTGAGGTTTCCTACTGAATGCAAATTTTGAAACTAATATTTTTATGAATTTTTTAAAATGATATTAAAATAATTATCAAATTTTTATTATTTAAAATCATTAATTATCATATATATGTTAACTATATTAGGTAATTTCATTATTTTTTAAGTAAAAAATATAGAAGATTTTTTAATTTGATAGTTAATTTAATAAAAACTATAACACTTATTTATCAACTTTTTCTAAGAATTATAAGAATTATTATAGTAACTAGGATAAGACCCGCGCTTTGCGCGGGATGAATTTGATATTTTTAATTATGTTTTCGAAAAAGAAACAATAATTCGGTTCATTTGGATTAAGGGTGTTCAAGGATATTGGGTTTTACTTCGGTTTGAATTTTTGGTATTTTGTTTATTAAAATATATTTACTATTTTAAATCTATATTTACTTCGGTTCGATTTGGTTTATATACCATCGGTTTTCGGTTTATTCAATTTTATACCAAAAACATAATTATTTAGTTTGGGATCATATTATATATTATACAAATATATAATATGATCATATTTAGAGTCATATTATCAAAAAGTCATTTATTAAAAATATATATTATATTTTTAAATAAAAGAATAAAAAAGGCTTCTATCATCTAATAAAATGATGAAATTTGGAATTAATATCAAAGTTCTAAATTTTGAAAATAAAAATAAAAAACAAAACAGACTGAAAGAAAAGTTTTTATATTCTTCCATATTTAGTAGTGTTCTTCAAATTAATATGTCTTCGGTTGAACACAACTCTGTTTGTTTAAAGATAATAAAGTTGTAAAGAATTTCAACTAATTGTTTTCCATCAAATTTATAATCTTTACTTCGATTTAGTTACTGTTAAAATAAAGCAAAAAAATAAAAAAAATTAAGAAAATAAGAAACCTCATTTGCAGTAAATTGTTAGTTAATTATAGTTCAAGTGATTCAAGTGATTTAGAAATTGTAATTATAGATCACCTCATGTAACAAATAGATATTCATGCGTCGTTATAAATATATACATATTTATATGTTTCAGTTTAATCGGTTATAAATCAAATCATATCCAAATCCTACAGTTTTTATAAAATCACATCCATTCGGTTTGTATGATATATACCAAAAAAAACATATTATCGATTGTTTAATATCTTTTAATAATAAAAAATAAAAAAAACTAAGATATTTAAATCATTGATAACAAAAAATTTCAGTGTGAAAAAATTTAATAAGTTTATAATTTATAAATGTTGTTGAAAATTCATTGAAATTTTTGAAATTAAAATATTTATGTAATCTTATATGCTATATAGTTTAATATATATATATATATATATATATATTTGTTTTATTATTTGTTAAACTATTGATCATTAATTTTTAACATAATAATTTTAATAGTTTTAGTTATTTATTCTCGTTTTGTAAAATTTAAAATTTAAAATATACGAAAAATATAAAGTTTAATTTTATAGCTAATTTGATTGTTTAATTTATTTTCATTATATAAAATTAAAGAAAAAATGATGGAGGAGATATAAATTGTTACCAAAAAATTTTGATATTAGAATCATTAATTGTCATATATATTAGTCATTTATGATAAATCCGTAGGTTTTATTTAAGGAAAGGAAATAAAATAGTAATTATATCTAGGGGAACAATCTTAAATGCTTATATGGTAAATATCATATCATATCATCATATCATATAGTTTGACCAATGAATATATCTAGCGACATATAAAAATTGAATGTGGACCTACTTATTTTTCAATTGAATCTAATTAACTAACTAATTGAGTGACACCTAAGCATAGGGTCTTTTTTAATTATTACAAAATTGAGGTTACAATTTTTTTAATGTTTCTCTTTTAATATATAGGGGATGAGACGTGGCTACAGAATATATACAGTGATTCTCAATTATCGTAAGAGATAATGTATAAAGTAATTTACTGAAATAAGTATTTTCTTTTTATGAAAGCATTAAGCCAGAGCTGTGTAGAAACCGGTTTAATATTAACCAAATCTCGACCGATATTCCCCCACACATCGTAATCGATTGGTCATCGGAGCTGTTGAAGCGAAAACCAAAATAAAGAAAAAGAAAGAAGAGATAAACCTTGTGGGAACCGAAATCTGAATCTCGACCAGATCAAAGCAAACAAAACGACCAGATCTCCCTTGCTTCTTCTTTGGTAAGATCTGATCTTTGTCCCATCCCTCTTGCTATTGTCTACTTGTTAGATCTTTAATCTATGAGCCGTTTATCGAGATTGGATTGAGACAAGTAAAGTGCAAACTAGCTTGTAGTTTTTTGATCAATTGGGTTTATTCATTCGCAGCTGTTAAAATGTTTATATTTTGATTCCTTGTCAGTATCAAGGCTAAGTCAATGCTTTTTTTTTGTAGCATATCTCTGATTGATCTATGTCCTGATAAAGTGCATTTTGTCCTTTTCTGTGTGGATCTAATGTAGTGAGTGAGATTCAGACATGGCTCCGGTTGGTCCACGTTCCGGTGATGCCATCTTCTCCAGCATCGATCGCGTGGTAAAAGTTTTGTTTTTTAAATAATATATTTCTCGTTATAGAGACGCTGGTTGATTCTATTGGGATTTGGATGAACTTGTAGAATGCAGAGTTATTCACATTGACGTATGGTGCAATCGTGCGTCAATTGCTTACTGACCTCGAAGATGTCGAGGAAGTCAACAAACAGCTTGATCAAATGTATTCTTCTTCTTCTATGCTTTCTTATAGCTCATAGCATTTAGGTTTGATCAAAAGTTAGTTCCTTTATCATACGCCATGAAAAAAAAGCATTTGACTTTCTAATGAGTATTTGATTATTTATTCACTGTTTATTCTGCAGGGGATACAACATTGGTATCCGACTTATCGATGAGTTTCTTGCCAAATCTGGTGTTTCAAGATGCGTTGATTTCAAGGAAACCGCTGAAATGATTGCCAAGGTTTGTCATTTCCATTTACTTACTTGTTCTGTACTATCATACCATTACTATAAATCAACCTTATATATCAAACTAGAGAACGTTTTAGATATCTCATTTGGTTTTATCCTGTTGAGAAGCAGTAACAGGCTTTGTGTTTTTACTACATTTAGGTGGGTTTCAAGATGTTTTTGGGGGTCACTGCATCAGTGTCAAGCTGGGACGCGGAAGGGACTTGCTGCAGTATAATCTTGGAGGACAATCCCCTCGTTGATTTCGTGGAGCTTCCCGATACTTGTCAAGGTCTTTACTACTGCAACGTCTTGAGTGGAGTTATAAGAGGCGCTTTGGAAATGGTTAGTCTTCTTTTTTTGGTTACATAAAGTGCACAACTTGTTTGGGCTCTCAATGTTTTTTTTGTCTGGACAATGATCAGGTGTCAATGAAGGCAGAAGTGACGTGGACGCGTGATGCTCTTCGTGGGGATGATGCTTATGAGTTGCAGGTGAAGCTACTGAAGCAAGTCGCTGAGGAGTATCCGTACAAGGATGATGAATAAAATGGTCACACTCCTATGTGTAGGCTCTTTCTTTTATCTTGCATTCTTAGCTTCTGAGCTCTTTGTTCTTCCAGAAACACAAACTTTCAGCTTTGAAACTGAATACTGTTTTTATTCTTAGCTTCTGAGCTCTTTGTTCTTCCAGAAACACAAACTTTCAGCTTTGAAACTGAATACTGTTTTTATGTTTGGCACAAACCGATTAATCCATTTCTTAGCTGTTTTATACTATATCAATGGGAGAAGTATCAAATCATATAGAGATCATTCAGTGGGATCAGAGCTGATAGATTTTGTAACATTAGCTCGGATTTCCAACTCTGGAATGTGCGTCTGTGACCGTTAACACACAAAGAAAATGAGATTAGTGAAAATTTAAGAGACCGAGAAGAGTTTCTCTAATGAGAATATTTGTCACATTGCACGGTAACTCACCTGATCTAGACAATGGAATTGTATTTGATTATGTTAAGTAGTTACAAACTAACAATCGTGCAAGTATGCTTTTGTTACTTAGCTATAACTTTTAGTAAATATAATATTTTAAGATGATTTTAATCATTTCTGTAAATTTTCAGTCTGCCAAAGCTAGCTCATGCCAACATTTTTTTTATGATTTACTAAATGAATCACCGCACATAATAAAGTGTGTTTTGTTTTAAAAATTGTTGTGTATCGGAAATTAATATGAACCATCATCCGTTTCGTTTTAAAATTTTGCTACAATTAAAAATATAAGATTGGGGAAAAAAAAATCCAAATAACCGAACCAACTGTAATCCAAAAATAATACAGTTTTTTAACCAAAATTGGTTACATATCCAAATGGATTCAATTTTTTTTGTATCTAGAGAATCAAAACTGAATCGAAATATTTTGGGTATTCAAGTGTATTCGAACCAGATTTATATACATAAATATAATAATTATTATTAAATTTAACATCCAAGAATATACAAAATATATAAAAAGTTTTAAAATATTCCAAAATACTTATAAATATATAAAATAGTTAAATGTACATTTTTAAAATAACTAAATTATACTCCAAATACCAAAAGTACTTGATATATTTATTGATATTTTGTCTAAATATTTAAGATAAACCAATTTTATGTTAATTTTAAGTATTTTGGGATTCATTTTTCAAATGTATATGTTATATATTATTTTTATTTTTATATTTTGAAAATTTTAAAATATATATGAACTTTAATCATTTTTAAAAAAAATATTACATGGATTATACGAACCTAAATCCAAACCGAACCTGTAGAGATTCAAACCAAATTCGCAAAGATCTAAACCAAACATAATCTAACTAAACCAAATGATACATGAATGTCCATCTCTAATAAAATGTAAAAAAAGCTTATTGATAACAAAATATATATTTAAATACAACATACTTTTTAAAAAAATTCATCATGCGCATGATGCAGATTATCAGTCTAGTTAAAATATTAATGATGATCTACATAGAGTGCTTGATGTTAAAAAAAAAAAAAAATCCACATAGAGTGCATTTTACCCTACTCATAACCATGGAAGACTAACTAAAAATGATACTCTCTCTTTCGCATTCATTCGTTTATTTGGTAACATACTCCAATTTCTCCATAAAATATTTCCAGAGATTCTTACCACATACAAATATTTGTAGAGAGATTCATTACATAACAAAAGCTGAGTTTGATTTCTTTTTAATTATTCGGATAATAATAAAATCGGTATCCGTTAAATTAATCTTCTATTCTCCCAAAAAAAAAGAAAAATAGAAAGGTAACTAGTGAATCGCCAAATATAGGGAAGCGTGCCAGTCCTCTCAATATCCAAATCTTCCCCCATACTTATCGATCACGTCATCTCCTTTGTCAGATAACGAAACCGAACCTCCCTTCTTTAAATCCACAACCTTTGTCCGAATCTCATTTCACCGCAAACACACAAAAAAATAATATGGCGACGACACAGCTCAAATCCGATGCGATCATGGATATGATGAAGCAGCATCTCTCCACCGATGCTGGTAAAGAGCTCACGGAGAAGATCGGTCTCGTTTATCAGATCAACGTCGCTCCCAAGGTAGGTCCCCCCTTGTCCTAAACTCCATCGTGTTCTGATTAATTTTTGTTAATTTTGTTTGATTTTTTTCTCCAGAAATTAGGGTTTGAAGAGGTTACTTACATCGTGGATCTGAAGAAAGGGGAAGTCACCAAAGGTTAGCAATTGGGTATTCGAATAAGAATTTTTAGACATGATTTCGTAATTGGATTCCCTTAAAATCAATTGATTCTTGCAAAATTGATTTTTTTTAGGAAAATACGAAGGAGGGAAAGTGGATGCTACTTTCTCCTTCAAAGATGATGACTTTGTCAAAGTTGCTACTGGCAAGATGAATCCTCAGATTGCTTTCATTAGGTTTGTCTTTTTTTATTTATTTGTCATTTTATTACAAGTTTTAAGCAGCTTTTGTCTTGTGTCTGAACACAAATCCACCATGGTTCTACTTTCTTGATTTTCTTTGATTTGGATCAAGAAGTTGATCTCTGACTCTCTGTGAATGTTTTGGTTGGTGGCAGGGGTGCGATGAAGATAAAGGGTAGTCTCAGTGCTGCACAGAAGTTCACCCCTGACATTTTCCCAAAGCCTTCAAAGTTGTGAACACAGTGTAAGAATGGTGCTGCAAACCTCCCTTGACTCAGGCTCAATTTATGTCTTTTTCTAAGGGGTTTGAGAGTTGGATTCTTACAAGCAATGTTTAAGAATTTAAGAACTAGTCGCTAGATAATAAAAATGTCTCTTCAAGTATCTTTGTATGGATCTTTTGGAAACTGGTGTTTGGGTTTTTAATAATATGAATCTTTTTTCTTTGAATAAATTTCTATGAAAAATGTGTGTGAATGCATGGAAAAGTAATTGCCAGACTCATCTCAAGTAGTCTGTATTGTTGTTGGTGTAAGAAAACAAAACAAAAATGTTTTGAAGAAAAAGGTATTCACTTGTGAGACCTCTTCCTTGACAACATAAAAACCTTTGGCAACAGAGAAAGCTTCTTCTACTTAGGTTCAGGAGTCAGATTATTTGGTTATTAGTACCTCCTCCAATGTTGTTGGCAAATCCATTCTCCTTAGTTCTCCCTTTAGTGCTTGACCTCGTTGGTCTCTTCTCAGGCTTCATACCTTCTTCCCATTCTCTCAACTCTTGGTCCATACCCAACTTCCCATCTCTAGCCTTTTCGGCTTTTCCCATCGCAGCCTTTAGACTCTGCTTTCCTAAACTCATCTCTCTATTCACTTCCTCTAGTTTTCCCAAGATTATTGACTCTTCGTCTTTAGCCGCTTCTATTTGAGAAACAATCTGTGATAGCTCGTAGTAATCTTCTACAGGAGATTATGATGTTTCTTGGTGAATTGTTAATCTCATCAAATCTCTGAAAACATTCAGTCTTTTGCAAATCTTTAGTCGCAGCTAAGGCCAGCGTCTCTGAAGCTCTAGCAGCTTCCATTCCATTTTTCGCCTCCATTAATCTATTCTCTATTGTAGACATTCCGGTTTTCGCTTGTTCAAACAACTCCTTTGCCATTCTAAGCTTGTCTTTAGCAGCTGCAGCCAAGAAACTTTACATCCTCTGCTTCTTTTGTCACCTGCTCCAACTTCTTGGCTGTTTCCACCATCTCCTCTCTTGCTGTTTCATCTATTGTCTGGACCAAACTTGCATTTTATCTCTGATTAGTTTCTGCTAGATCCTGTCTCTCTATTACAAGCTCGAAAGCTTCTTTCTCAAAGTTGGATTTGACTTCTTCGAGCGCTCTCTTCACAAAATCAACAGCTGCATGTATTTCCTTCCCGCGAAAGCCGCTAATTCAGCTCTCAGACCGTACTGAAGAGCAGAAGCAGTCTCCTTAGCTTCCATAACAGCAACTTCAGTTTTCTCTGCAGCTAAATATTTTCCCTCAACATATCTTCATAGTCATTACAAACCATTTGAATCTCTTCTATCACAGACCGTAACTCACAAGTCTCCGAGTCCTGTCTCCCTCTAGCTATCTTAAGCTGTGCTTTGACAGCAACACTTGCCTCATTATCTTCACCTTGCTCCATCTCCTCAACATGCTTCTGCGCTAGCTCCGAGTCTTGTCTCGCTTGCCTCTCTTCTAATTGTACTTATGTGTACAACAGTACAAGTAAGGAAGGTAAGTATATATACACAATAGTTATACTGAATTGATCAGTGAGATCCGAATTTAGCTGTTAGAGGAGTATATATATACGGTGATAAATCTTTTCAAAATGAACCGTTGGAGGTAGTGCCAATCTTAATCTGAAAACTTTATATCTCGGTTGAGGAATGGTTTGGTAAAAGCATCCGCGAGTTGAGCATAAGTGGAGACATGTGAGATATGGACTTGACCGGTTTGTACTTGATCGCTAATAAAGTGGCAGTCAAGGACGATGTGCTGCATGTGTGAGTGGAAGACTAGATTTTTGCGGCTAAATACATAGCTCTAATGTTATCACAGTAGATAATTGGTGTTTGTGGATTTGAAATATGGAGTTTTGTCATGTGTGATCGTATTCAGCACAACTCTGCAGTCGTTAACATGACATAGTATAGTACTTGCTTAGCTTAGATGATCAAGCAACACTTCTTTGTTTGTTCGTGAACGAAGCGATGGGATGTTTTCCAGGTATTCTATGTAGACACTAAGACACATGTTGATGTGTAGTCGTCCTTTTTCCTGAGCAGCAAGTATAAGGCATGAAGTATGGGTAGTCCGGTAACTGAGAAGTATATTTCATGAGTCATTGTTTTTTTTCTTTTGCTTAAATTTCATGAGTCATTGTCCCAACAAAAATATATTAGAGAAATCATTTCGCCACAGTCCAATGGTATGTCGTGGGGCTGTGCATAGACTAAAAGAGCTTATTGACGGAGTAGGAAATGTCTGGACAAGTTATTCATAAAAAGTGTTGTAAGCTCTCCACAAAGGCTCGGTATTCTGTAGAATTGCCAATGGCTTTTCCCAGAAAGGAGTGAAATAATTGTTGATTAGGCATGTCGGTGTTGTGGTTGGCTTTGTATTTAACAACTGTAGCATTTAAAATGTAATCCATGACTTGTACGGTTCACTTCAATGCAAAAAATACGTTAACCCAGTTTAATTTTTTTTTAAATGGTATAGTTGTTAATAATTTACCAGATTCTTCATATTATATAACATAGAAAAAAAAATTTTGAGTAACATTTGTAACTACTAAAAAATTGTTGAAATGTTGACAAATTTTTATTTTGTATAAATACTTTATAATAGTATATTTAAAAAGTTTAACCATCCAAAACGTAAGACGAAAATTGAAAAAAAAAGGAAAAAAGTTTCTCAGCTACACAAAGTTTACACTAATATGGTAGAAATCATCCAATGTATAAAAATGTGTCAAGAACTACACAAAGTATATGTTAATACATGCCACATGTACGAAGTAAATGATATTATGGTGGCAACATCACAATCGGATTTAATTGTTCTTAAGCTAAGTTAATGGGGTCAATCCGTAATTTATGAAACTTAATAAACTTAATTGATTTTAATTATTAAAATTAATAAAATTAATAGACTTAATAAACATAATATTTTTTAAAACTTAATAAAATTAATAAACTAAATATTTTTTGTTAAACTTAATAAATTTATTAAGTTTAATAAATTTATTAAGTTTAATAAATTTATTAAGTTTAACAAAAATATTAAGTTTATTAAGTTTATTAATTATATTAAGTTTAAAAAATATTATGTTTATTAAGTTTATTAATTTTATTAACATTAATAATTAAAATCAATTAAGTTTATTAAGTTTCATAAATTACGGATTGACCCCATTAACTTTGCTTAAGAACAATTAAATCCGATTGTGATGTTGCCACCATAATATCATTTACTTCGTATATGTGGCATGTATTAACATATACTTCGTGTAGTTCTTGACACATTTTTATACATTGGATGGTTTCCACCATATTAGTGTAAACTTCGTGTAGCTGAGAAACTTTTTTCCAAAAAAAAAAGAGAAAAACTGGATAACAAGGAAACGACGAAATATCCCCTTTTTTGCCCCGTCAACCTCTTCCTTTACCCATTCTTCTTCCCCTCTTTTAAAAAAATTTCGTTTCTTCTTCCGCAAGATGATCGTTCATTGATCAATCCGTAATAATCAAATCACGAAAATTCGAATCGACCTTCCTCAAAATCTCGGCGCTGCTTTCTTTAATAGAAAAAAAAAAATGAACGCGGTGGGAAGGATCGGGAGCTACATCTACCGAGGCGTAGGCACGGTCTCAAGCCCGTTCCACCCCTTCGGCGGCGCGATCGACATCATCGTCGTCCAACAACCCGACGGCACATTCAAATCCTCCCCTTGGTACGTCCGATTCGGCAAATTCCAAGGGGTTTTGAAGAACAAACGCAACCTCATCAAGATCGAGGTCAATGGCCTCGAATCGGATTTCAACATGTACTTGGCTCACACTGGCCAAGCCTATTTCCTCCACGATCTCGCGGTGGGAGATTCCGAGTCCACCTCTGCTGAGGTTTATAATTTATCCTCCGGTGATGAAGCGGATGAGGTTGATGATGATGAGGAGGATGATAAGGTTAAATTGCCGTTGAAGTCTAAGAGTTGTAATGGTTATGAGACTTCTCAGGCTCCTAAGGCGGGGATTCTAGGGTTTGTGTTTGGGGGGAGGTCGGTTAGGGAGAGTAAGGTGGAGGATGAGAAGTTGGTGGATAGTGATTTGATTTTGGAGACGCCTCTTGTTGCGTCTCCTACGTTGCGGTATTTGGATGAGAAGGAGCAGGATTTTCGTGAGAGTAATAATGTGGATGAGTATTGTGATGAGGAGGAGGAGAATAGTGCTATTGTTGTTGAGAATGGTTCGAGTAGTAGTGCTGTGTTCTCTGTTACTAGTGAAGGGAGTTTGGAATCAGCCGAGGCTTTAGCACAGGTTAGTTTTTTTTTTTTTTTTTTTAATCTCATTTTGGAAGAAGCTTATGGGACTTGATGTCGTTGTTTTAGGGTTCTAAGCAGGAAATGACAAGTGTTCCTGAAACTGTGGAGGATGTAGCGTTGAGTTTAGCTGACCAAGTGGATTTGTGGAGCATTGGGACTTCTCAAGAAGGGAGCAGTTCTGGCTCTCTTGTTCAAGATGAGAGTAAAGTCACCATGGGAGATGGTTTTGAAAAGTCTCAGTCACCACCAGAGATGGAGGAACAATTTTCCTTTAGTGATCTTGACGATTGTAAACCTGCTGGGAGTAGTTCTGGAGGGTCAAATTCTCCTCATACGGTAAAAGTTGATTCTCCTCATACCGTAAAAGTTGGTTCTCCTCATACTGTAAAAGGTGGTTCTCTTCATACAGTAAAAGTTGGTGGGGAAGAGATTAGTCCTGACAATGGCGTGGAAGACACAAAGGTCTTGTCAGAGCCGGTTGGCATAGAGAGGGGAAATGGTATTTCTGGAGGAGAGGTTGAGCGGTTGGTTGAGTCGTTACCGATTATGCGGCTTCAGAGTAATGATGATGTGGATGTCAGTTCTTGTAAGCCTATGAGCCAGTCATTTGACCCATGTTCCGATACTTCCAAGTGGGAATTGAGAGAAGATGAGTCTTACTCGAGGGGTTTAGATGCAGAAAGCGTTGCTGAGAGTAGCCCAAACTTAAAGGTTTTCACACATGTTATTGCTAATCCTGAAATGGGTAAGGAGATATTATTTACTTTACCTTTTATATTTTTAAATCTCTGGATATGATGTGGCATGCTATAATCTTTAACGTTTTCTCCATTCTCAGTCGAGCTCTCTTTCTGCAAGCACTTATTACGTGAAGAAATGGGAGCAGAAGCGGCTTCTCAGGCCTTCAATTCTGAAAAATTGGATATGGAAACGTTTGCTTCTTTGGGCCCATCAGTGTTAGAGAATGATAAGCTTATATTGAAGATTGGTGGATGCTATTTTCCATGGGAAGCAGCAGCTCCTATTATCTTGGGAGTTGTTTCATTTGGGACTGCCAAAGTATTTGAGCCCAAGGGGATGATAGCTGTTGAACGGAATGAGAAACCTGGCGATGTAGCTCCGGAGGGTGGAAGCTGGTGGCCTTTCTCTCGTAGAAGATCAAGGAACGATAGTGAAAGTTCTTCTAAGGACGCTGGTGAACCTGAGGAGAAACAACAAGAGAAGCCGCTGCCAAGACCAGTGAAAAAGATGGTCAGGGCATTAGCTCCAACTTCTGAACAGTTGGCTTCGCTAGACTTGAAAGAAGGAATGAATACTGTGAATTTCACGTTCTCCACCAATATTGTGGGTATTTTATCCTTTTTTCTACGGATGTTTGTCATGTAACTGTGGAGAGTTGTGTTCACAAACTCATTAATATGACAGGTAGACGCGAGGATTTACTTATGGAAATGGAACGCTCGGATAGTTATTTCAGATGTAGATGGTACCATAACAAGGTATAGGATATACCTTTGGTTTTCTGTTATGTTTTTGCATGTTTTCTGACTTTCTTTATGTTTCACAGATCTGATGTCTTAGGACAGTTTATGCCTTTGGTTGGAATTGATTGGTCGCAAACAGGTGTTACACATTTGTTTTCTGCTGTTAAGGTATGATATATTTGCTTCTTATTGTTACAAATGAAGCAATGTGACAAAAGCAAAAGATTCAGTTTCTCTGCCCTAACATTTCTACAGGAAAACGGATATCAGTTGATGTTTTTAAGTGCACGAGCGATTTCTCAGGCCTCACTCACAAGACAGTTTCTAATTAATCTCAAGCAGGTAAATCAGACAAAACACATTCATAAAATAGACAATCTAGGCAGCTTTTGTTAATCATAAGCTAGCAAATGGCAGGATGGGAAAGCATTGCCGGATGGGCCTGTTGTTATTTCTCCTGATGGCGTCTTTCCTTCTTTGTATCGGGAAGGTAAAATCTGTTTCCTCCGCATAAACAAAAAAACATTTACTTCGCATGATGTTTGTTGATCTTTAGTGATTTGCTTCTTTCTCGACAGTAATTAGAAGAGCACCTCATGAATTCAAGATTTCTTGCTTGTCGGTTAGTTTTTTTTTGGTTTCTATCTCTTGAAAGTTTGAAACGCTTTTGTCCTCTGAACCACTATGTAACTGTTTTTTAACTCTTTTGAACAGGAGATACGAGGATTGTTTCCTCCTGAACACAACCCATTCTATGCTGGTTTTGGAAACAGAGACACGGATGAGATAAGCTACCTTGAAGTCGGGATCCCCCGGGGAAAGATCTTCACTATTAACCCCAAGGTACCCATCATTAAAAACTTCAACGCATTAGCAAAAGAAACAGATGAATTAGCAACGTTTGTGGAACAAGTTATGCCTTAGATCCCCATCTCTGGGTTGCTTGTTAAACAATGACTTCAAAGTGTTTTTCTACTCAGGTTACAGTTTGTAAGTTTGCATTTGGCGTTAGTCTTTGTAAATGTAATGTGTAGGAAACACTTAAAATGTTTTGTTTTCCAAAAGGATAAATAAATTTCACATGTAAACGCAAACGCAGAAATTGGCATTGAAACAATTGCAATCTTGCAGGGCCAAGTAGCTGTAAATCGTAGGGTGGATACAAGGTCATATACAAATCTTCATGCTCTTGTCAATGGAATGTTCCCTGCTACAACAACCTCCTCAGAACGGGTATACTATATATTTATAAGTTCAGTTTTTTTTCGATGTTTTATTTGCGGATTTTTGATAGCTTTTACAAACAGGAGGATTTTAACACATGGAATTTCTGGAAACTGCCTCCTCCACCATTTATGTGATGATGACGATGATGTTTGTGTTGAAGAAAATATAGATTAGCTGATACAGATAACAAATGGTGGCCCAGTATAGAGCTAGCAATATTGATCATATCCACCTTCTTCCAAAAGACACGGTAATTTTGGTGGTTAGTTTTTTTTGGCAATCTGGTTTCATATCACAGGTTTACGATGTATGTGCACGCAGTTATACTTGTTGTATATAATATATTTAACATGTTGGACAGTGTTCTTGGAAACATTTGAAGTTTTGAAGAACAATATATAAATATACATTTACACAAATCTTAACATATAATTAGAGAGTTTTGTAAACTACATGTAGCATGTGGCTTTGATGTAATAATTTTAAAAATTACATGGAAGAGAATGGCATTAACTAAACATGTAACATGTGGCTTTCATGAAGTTGGATTACAGACCACTATAATGTTTTACCATGCACCGCCGTTACCTTCTCTGTTCAAGCTTATTAGCTGCCAATATTTGCCAGCATCGCCGTCGGTGCAATTTTAGATATTATATGAGTTATCTATTCTTTCAAATTGTCATTAGACATTTACATATACGCCAAGTTCCATGTGCAGTCATTATTGACTCCTTATAAAATCTAACTACATCATTTTTCAGACAGTCATTTTGTTACTATTTAGACCCAAAATTTACTTTACAGAAAATACTGATATTATTTAAAATACTGCTTCCAGTTCCAAATAAATTGGCTTATCTTTTCCCTTAAATTTAATTTCATTACTTCAACAAATAATTGATTCCATCATTACAAAAAAAATCCTGTTCCAATCCTATATGTTCAAAGAAATGATGACATTATAAATAGTACTTAAAGCAATTGAGATTATCCGTGATTTTGTTCGATTGAAGTGGTCCGAACGAACGACAAGAAAATATATCAAACTCTTATTGAACCGACTTTAAAATCTTGTGCGACTGTCCATGATTAAAATAAGAGAAACAATAACAAAATTACTTGGTCACTTGATATTTACTTAAAACAAAATTACTTGGCCACTTGATATTAATTAACAATCGCGAAACAAATTATCCAAGTGGGTCTCATATCCACTCAATGACCGGACTAACAATTCAATACATAAACTCCCCCTCTTTGGTCTTCTTCTTCAACCATTTCCTGAATCTCAAGTCAAGATGCACACCAATGCAGCAGACTCAGAGGTAACAAGCCTCTCAGCTTCATCCCCCACAAGATCTCCCACCCGTCGACCAGCCTACTTCGTCCAATCTCCTTCACGTGACTCCCACGATGGAGAGAAAACCGCAACATCATTCCACTCAACACCCGTTCTCAGCCCCATGGGATCTCCTCCCCACTCTCACTCCTCCTCCAGCCGCTTCTCCAAGATCAACGGCTCTAAGCGCAAACCACACGGTGGAGACAGGAAGTTCGCAATGATCGAAGAAGAAGGTTTGCTCCATGATGGTGACAGAGAACAAGAAGGTTTGCCTCGTCGTTGCTATGTTTTAGCATTCATCGTTGGATTCTCTTTGCTCTTCGCTTTCTTCTCTTTGATCCTTTATGCAGCTGCTAAGCCTCAGAAGCCTAAGATCTTAGTCAAGGTTAGTGGAATCTTAAAATAACTCAGATCGGATCGTAGATCTAAAACAGGACGGTGCTTAATTAACTCTGTGAGATTGAATTGCAGAGTATAACGTTTGAGCAACTTAAGGTTCAAGCTGGACAAGATGCGGGAGGTATAGGAACCGACATGATCACGATGAATGCGACATTGAGAATGATGTATCGTAACACAGGGACATTCTTTGGTGTTCATGTTACTTCTTCTCCGATCGATCTGAGTTTCTCGCAGATCACTATTGGTTCTGGAAGTGTAAGTCCAAGATCTTAAACTTTCTTTAACATTTGTCTGAAATTCATGTTCATTAATGTTAACTGTTGCTATCATCATATGATTTTAGGGGGATATTAATTACTTTTTGGTTTTTTCAGTTGTGAAAAATGATTAAAATAATTTTTTTTCCGGTTCAAGTTGGAAATATTCGGTTAGGTTTTGTTTTTTTTGTTTGTGTTTGATCAATGTTGTCGGTTGATAATTGCTAATTATCACATGCATCGGTCAGGAAATGCATATTTTTATTATTCCCTTATGTTCTATTATTGAGAAAAACTATCTAAAATAACACAAAATACTTAAGTACTAAAACTGAATTTTATTCATTTGGGTTATTACCGACTTCCACTTTTGACTTTTTTTCTCTTTTTACTTATAATTGCAGATTAAAAAGTTTTACCAATCAAGAAAAAGCCAAAGAACGGTGATAGTGAATATGATTGGAGACAAGACTCCTCTCTACGGAAGTGGTTCGACCTTAGTCCCACCCCCACCTCCTGCACCACTTCCGCCAAAGAGCAAAAAGAAGAAAGGACCCATCGTGATCGTCGAGCCACCAGCACCTCCTGCTCCCGTGCCAATGAGGTTAAACTTCACCGTTCGATCTCATGCTTACGTTTTGGGGAAACTAGTTCATCCTAAATTCTACAAGAGAATCGTGTGTTTGATTAACTTCGAACACAAGAAACTCAATAAACATATTGCACTCACAAACAACTGCACCGTCACTACTGTTTGAAGATGAAAGACGACAATCCTCGAAAGTGCAAGAATCGTATTGGGAACGTGCCAATTACTGTCGGTGGGTTTAATATGTACTTTAATTTATGCGAGTGGACTACGATCATGGAGAATATTTTTGTCAATGATACACTGAATGAGAAGATTCACATTTTTAATTTATTCTTTTCTTGAAAGCGAATTATCGACCTTATTTTCTTCTTCTATATAAAAAATTTATGTGGTAAGGTATATTATGTCAAATTTTGAGTTTTTATTTATTGTAACAAGTTAAATCCTTCGATTGTTGACAAAGAAACAAAGAAAAGAAAAGAAAAGAAAAGAAAAAAAAAATCCTTCGATTGTTGACAAAGAAACAAATAAAAGAAAAGAAAAAAAAAATCCTTCGATTGATATTATATCTTCATATTTTAGATTTCATCATTCTAAATCTCAAACAAAATATTATGATTTTCCTAATTTTTCATTTTTTTCATTTTAATTCAAGGGTGGATTTGCTAGCTAACAAGAATATACCACCACTAATTGGGAAATGAAATCAATATAAAAATACTGTTTATATGTTTTTACTTTCAAATATAAACAAAATATTGTTCTGTTCTAACATGCCTCTTGTTATGTTTTCTTTATATACTATAGATACATAATAGTATGCTGATGATATATATTAAGTAAATTAAATTAGGTTGAGTAATAAATGAAATATATGTAAGAATTTATTGTTGATCAATAGTGTTTTAAACCACTGAATCAGAATCTAATGTCTATTGGACTGAAACATTTGAATAGGGTCTTCTCTATAAAAGAATTTTCAATATCTAAATTTTTTTTTTTAAGTAAATTAAATTAGGTTGAGTAATAAATGAAACATTTGAATGAGGCTTTTTCTATAGAAGAATTCTTTTGAATGAGGCTTTTCTATAGAAGAATTCTCAATATCTAAAAATTTTTTTTTTTACATATTGATTTTTTAAAAAATGTTTTTTTTAAAAAATAAATAAATAAATGCTTTCAACATATATATTATGAAAATATATAAATTTCTGTATATATACTAATTAAAGATAAAACAATTTGTTTTTACCTCTTCATTTTTGTTTTCTTTACATAAATTTGTTTTGTTTATACATTTTAAATATAGTTTTAATTTGTTTTGGTACTTATTTTATTGGAATGAAAACCTAATAATGTCATGCCCGACTCTGTATTGAATACATATTAAGTTGACTTTCAAAAATATGGTTTCTTGAAAATAGTATAAAATTGATAATAATATAAAATTAGAATTCATAAGAACGTAATTTACTAATTATTTACTTAAGTTTTATTTTAAAATGTTTGATTTAAGAAATTCAAATCATGTTATATGTTTCGAGTATTTATGTATATTCAGTTTTAGTTATTTTCAAGTATTTTTAGATAATTCGAATATCTGAATATTTTAGATAATAAATAAATTTAAAATTTTAAATATAAAAGTTGTGATTTAGATTTTTAATTATCTGACAAATTTTTTTTTTTTTAATTATCCATTGTTTGGATCAAAGGTTCAGATTTGATTCTTTCAGATACCAATTTGTATTTGGCCCATTAAAACATTTTGCCAGTTTCAAGTTTCAGTTCAATTTGATTATCGGCTCTGGGTATTCGCCCGAACTTTCCCTGACAGCGAGAGGATCAATCATGCAAATATATATTTAATTATTTAATCCCAAAAGAAAACCTATTTACAAAATCAACCCCTTATTAATTAATAATCCCTCATTGTTTTTTAGGGCCGCACTCTCACCCCGGCTCACGCGAGTCCCCAAACACACCTACTCCTCCCAGGTAATCTTCTCTCCTATTTAGTGTGATTAATCAGATCTGTTTAGATGATTAATGCTTCTCGTTCTATCGATGGATTTGATTGTGTGTGGATCTAATGTAGTCGGGTGAGATTCAGACATGGCTCCGGTTGGTCCACGTTCTGGTGATGCCATCTTCTCCAGCATCGATCGCGTGGTAAAGTTCACAATTTTTAAGAATCTATTTCTTGTTTTATTGACAATATTTTGATTGTCTTGAGATTTGGATAAATTTTGTAGAATGCAGAGTTGTTCACGTTGACGTATGGTGCAATCGTGCGTCAATTGCTTACTGACCTCGAAGATGTCGAGGAAGTCAACAAACAGCTTGATCAAATGTATTCTTCTTCTTCTATGCTTTCTTATAGCTCATAGCATTTAGGTTTGATCAAAAGTTAGTTCCTTTATTCATATGCCATGTAAAAAAACGAATAAAGCATTTGACTTTCTGATGGACTTTATTCTATATTGCCTCACTCACTCCCATCTTCATAAATTTGATTTTTTTTTCCTTTCTCAAAATCAAAACGTGATTAAAAAATCAATAACCCTTAATGAATTAGTATTATATGTAATATGAATTACTAGAAACTACTTTGAATTACTTTGAATTACTAGAAACTACCTTGAATTACTTTTAATTACTAGAAACTACCTTGAATTACTAGAAACTACTACGAACAAAAAAAAAAAGTGGGGGCAGTGAGAAAAATGGTGGGGTAATGAGAATAGTTATTTTCTAACTGGGGTATATTAGAATACTTTCCCTTTCTGATGGGTATTTGATTATTTATCGGTGTTTATTCTGCAGGGGATACAACATTGGTATCCGACTTATCGATGAGTTTCTTGCCAAATCTGGTGTTTCCAGATGCGTTGATTTCAAGGAAACTGCTGAAATGATTGCCAAGGTTTGTCATTTCCACCGACTCACTTGTTCTCTATCACCACTATACGGGTTTGAAGTGTCAGTAACAGGCTTTGTGTTTACTACATTAGGTGGGATTCAAGATGTTTTTGGGGGTCACTGCATCAGTGTCAAGCTGGGACGCGGAAGGGACTTGCTGCAGTATAATCCTGGAGGACAATCCCCTCGTTGATTTCGTGGAGCTTCCCGATACTTGCCAAGGTCTTTACTACTGCAACGTCTTGAGTGGAGTCATTAGAGGCGCTTTGGAAATGGTTAGTCTCCGTTTTTCTTCCAACGTTTTTGGTTATATAAAGTGCTCAGTGTTTGTTTTACTGGACAATGATCAGGTGTCAATGAAGACGGAAGTGACGTGGACGCGTGATGCTCTTCGTGGGGATGATGCTTATGAGTTGCAGGTGAAGCTACTGAAGCAAGTCGCTGAGGAGTATCCGTACAAGGATGATGAATAAAATGGTCACACACACCTCCTATGTGTAGGCTCTTTCTTTATCTTAGTTTCTGAGCTCTTTGTTCTTCCAGAAACGCAAACACTTTAAGCTTTGAAACTGAATACTGTTTTATGTTTTGGCACAAACCTATTATTCCATTTAGCTGTTTTATAAATCAATGGGAGAAGAATCAATGTGACTGAGATCAAATCATGTACAGACCAACAACCAATCAAATTGCTTCAATGAATATATTATGTTAATTTGGTTATTACCGACTTCCAGTTTTGACTTTTTCTCTTTACTTATAATTGCAGATTAAAAAGTTTTACCAATCAAGAAAAAGCCAAAGAACGGTGATAGTGAATATGATCGGAGACAAGACTCCTCTCTATGGAAGTGGTTCTACCTTAGTCCCACCCCCCACCTCCTGCACCACTTCCGCCAAAGAGCAATAAGAAGAAAGGACCCATCGTGATCGTCGAGCCGCCAGCACCTCCTGCTCCCGTGCCAATGAGGTTAAACTTCACAGTAAGATCTCATGCTTACGTTTTGGGGAAATTAGTTCATCCTAAGTTCTACAAGAGAATCGTGTGTTTGATTAACTTCGAACACAAGAAACTCAATAAACATATTGCACTCACAAACAACTGCACCGTCACTACTGTTTGGAGATGAAAGACGACAATCCTTTTTTTTTTGGTAAACGATTGGGAGGAAGACTCCCAAGTTTTATTATCAGAAACGAAACTTCAAAATTACAGACGAACTTGCCGTGGCCGAGGAGGTCCAATGACATCCTCAGACAACAAAGTCACAAGCTCAGTAGGAGCAACATCAAACATATGAAAGCCAAAAGGCAATGAAAATGCAAGGTTAGCGACGCCGTCAGCTAAACGGTTAGCTTCCCTGTAAACATGCACAAAACGAACTATCCAGTCCCTCGTCAAGAAGCCATGGCACAGACGTACCAGGAACGACAGGGGATGAGTCTCCTCAATCCCAGTCGTAAAAAAATCCATCACCACCTTCGAATCCACTTCAACTTCCAATCTCTGGATCCCTCTATTCCATGCTACCACAAGACCATAGTAAACTCCCCATAATTCAGCCAACGGAGCACTGCATCTCCCGATATTTACCGCAAATCCCGCACACCACTCACCATTTTCGTTGCGGAGTACTCCTCCCGCAGCTGCCGGACCCGGGTTCCCATGAGATGCTCCATCTGTGTTCATTTTCACCCACCCCACTGTAGGGGGAGTCCATTTCACCATGATCTCTGTTCGCTGACCAGCTCTTGTAACGTGCGACGCAACAGCATTCGCAGCCATAACCTCTTTGGCCAGATTACGTAGAAACATTACTCTGTCTCTCCAAAGCTTATTCTCTCCAAACACATTACCACATCTCCACTTCCACGCCCACCATACCGCCACAGCAAACATCGTGGACCACTTGCTACCCTCGATGATCTCATTATCTTGCAGGTTCCTGTATATCCACTCCAACAAATGCATTGAGAAGAATGCAAGTCTCTTCCTACCAGGAACCAACCTTACCCATATTCCTTCCATCGCCGGACAATCTCGGAGAACGTGTAAAATCGTTTCAATACCTCCTCTGCAGATTTGACACACATCGGTCCCACTAAGATGGCGTCTGTGTCTCTCTGCATTCGTCATTATCGCTGTGTTTCCAACTAACCAAAGAAAGCATCTAACTCTCTCCGGCGCCATTACTCGCCACACACTTTGGAAAAGTTGCCCCATATTTGGTCTCGGAGCTTCATCTCTCGTGAGCATCTCATAAGCCGACTTCACTGTAAACTGGCCATTTTTCGTTAATCCCCAGGCTAAACGATCTTTGCTGCCTGTGAACTCATCAATCACTGTTGTCGCAAGCTCCAATCGCGTCTCCTCGGTTATAAACTGAGTAATTCTGTTCAGGTCCCAACCTCTACCTGCAACCCATAAGTCTCTCGCCGTCATCTCTTCCATCTCCTCGGGTAACTCGGCTATAGTGGCCATGTTAAGACTTCTATTCGATAGCCATCTATCTTTCCAAAATTTTATCTCTCTCCCATTCCCAATCACCCAGCTATGACCCTTCACGAGTACCTCCCTTATACCCAGAACAATGCTCTTCCAAGTCGACGATGAGTTCTTTCTCGCTACCATCCAAGAAGGATCATGAATATTCCCCACAGTGTACTTGCTACGAATCACTTTAACCCATAGACTTCCATCATCTTGTATCAAGCGCCATCCCACCTTCGCGAGTAGCGCTTTGTTCATGTCTCTCGATACTCTTACTCCAAGACCTCCTTCTCTCTTTGGTTGACAAACCTTCTCCCAAGCAATCAAGTGTTGTCCATTTCCCCACACGAAGCTCCGAGCCAGACTGTCAAGCTTATCGAGAGTGCTCACCGGCAAACTTATAGTGCTCATCGAGTGTACGGGTATGGAGGATAACACAGTTCTCGTCAGTGTTATTCTTCCTGCAAGACTAAGAGTCTGTTTCTTCCAACCCGATAGCCTAGAAGCAACTCTTTCCAATATCTCACCAAAAGTATCTTTGTTTATTCTCTTCTGGAGTATCGGCATCCCCAAGTATTTTCCCAGCTCCCTTGTTGATGCAATACCACTTTCCCGGCTGATACGATCTCCTCTTTCTCGTGTTACATTCTTGGAAAAGAAGATTTTAGACTTTTGGAGGCTTACCTTCTGTCCTGATGCCTTGCAAAACTTCTCTAACACTTTTCTGATGACACGGATTTGTGTCACCGATGCCTCCGCGAAGAGAATAAGATCGTCTGCGAAACAGATGTGTGACAGTTGTGGACCACCTCTAGATAGTTTTATAGGTTTCCATCTCTTTCCCTCTACCGCCTCCTCAATTAGATGACACAACCTTTCCATACAGAGTACAAACAGATACGGTGATAGGGGATCCCCTTGTCTGAGCCCTCGAGAAGGCTTGAAAGCTTCTGTCTTCTCTCCGTTCCACAGGATACTCATCGCAGGACCAGCAACACATTTCATAACCCTCCCTACCCATGCTTCCGTCAAACCAGCAGCTCTCAAAGTATCCTCCAAAAAATCCCAACGCAGTCGATCATAAGCCTTTTCCAAGTCCAGCTTTAATAGCATCCATCCCTTCCGACCCTGCTTTCTTCCCATCGAATGAACTGCTTCCTGTACCACAACAATGTTATCAGCACTCAGACGACCCGGAATGAAACTAGACTGAGCCGGCCCAATTAACTTGTTCATGATCCCCTTCAACCTCCCAACCATGGTCTTCGTAATGATCTTAAACAACACGTTACAAAGACTTATCGGGCGAAACTGGGTTATGCTCTCTGGTTTAATTACTTTCGGAATCAGAACCACAAGTGCATCATTAGTTTCCTCTGAAAGACGACAATCCTAGAAAGTGCAAGAATCGTATTGGGAACGTGACAATTATTGTCGGTGGGTTTAATATGTACTTTAATTTATGCGAGTGGACTACGATCATGGAGAATATTTTTTGTCAATGATAAATGAGAAGATTTACATTTTAATTTACTAGATGCATAGTTGGATACGTTGTTGATGTGTTGTGTAGTTTTATGTATGACACTTTGCTATTTTTTTAACATTTGTTTATCCGACTTATCTATAATGGTGATAAATGAAACGTTAGAAGTCACATAATTAACATCGACTTCATATGGTTGATATTTTCATATTTTATCTTCGTACTGATTTTATCAAGTATTCCCTTTATTAATGATTTTATCGAGCATTACTGTTATTAGTGCTTTCATGTAAAATAATAATTTAATGGAGACAAGATAAAACAGACATGTGTTTATTAATGTAATTTTTTTTGTGAAATTATGTTGTATATATATATATATATATCTTTTTTTTTTAATTGTGATGTATATGAGATTTATGGTCGATCTGAATGGTTCGAGGTAAATATTTATTATTGAAAATATGTTTTTATTTTATTTGATGATTATAACTGAATTGAAATGATATTGGAGGTTAGAAAATGATAACCTTTCTTATAAAAATATCTAAGATGGTCTAATAAAGTTTCAAATCCTTAAGCCATATTGTATCCCAACAACCATCATAAAAAAATCATTCTGAATCTCCCTAAGCTTTTAGGTATCACGAAAAGCCCAAATAAAGAAAGAAAATTACATGCAAGCACTGTGTTTCGAATCCGCGCACTCGCGGTACAAACTTCTCGTCATCAACTTAAACCACTCGGCCAAGTCTTTATTCGTTGATGACATTCAATTTTAAAAAAATCTTATACGTTTTTTTTCCTAATAACACATGCGTGGAACCCGTAAGTTTGCTGACGTAGACAGCCTTAGGAGTTTCAAAAGTGAATCATTATTATATAGATTATTTTCTTGAAAGCGAAATATCGACCTTATTTTCTTATTTTATACTATAAAACAATAATTTGGTAAGGTATATTATGACAAATTTTGAATTTTTATTTATTTTAACACGTTAAATCCTTTGATTGTTGACAAAGAAACAAAGAAAAGAAAAGAAAACCTTCGATTGATATTATATCTTCATATTTAGATTTCATCATTCTAAATCTCAAACCAAAAATTATGATTTTCCTAATTTTTCATTTTTTCATTCAAGGGTGAATTCACTAGCTAACAAGAATATACCACCACCACCACTAATTGGGAATCAATATCCAAAAATACTGTTTAAATGTTTTTACTTCCAAATATAAACAAAATTTTGTTCTAACATGCCTCTTGTTATGTTTTCTTTATATACTACAGATACATAATAGTATGCTGATGATATATGTTAAGTGAAATTAAATTAGGCTTAGTAATAAATGAAATTATATGTTGAAAGAATTTACTGTTGAGCAATATTGTTCTAAACCACTGAATACTCCCTATGTTTCAATACAATACATGTTTTAGAGAAAAAAATTGTTTATTGTTTCTAAAAACTCTATGTTTCACATTTTAATGCATTAGTTACTGTTAAATTGTAAATTTCAAAACATTTATTAAAACTTTTATGACCATAACAAAAGATAATACATTGGTAATTCAAAATTCATTAATTTTCTTAGTATGTGTGAAAATATCAAAACATAAATCTTATTGAAATAAAGAGAGTACATGTTAAGTTTTGACTTTCGAAAATATGGTTATTCGAAAATACTATAAAATTGATGAACACATAAAGTTACGATAGAATTCATAAGGAAAAAAATGTAAATATATAGAATAAAACAATAATATGTTATATATAACATGAACTCAATTTAATAATTATTTACTTAAGTGTTGTTTAAAAATGTGATTTAAAATATTCAAATCATGTTATATGTTTCGAGTATTTACGGATATTCAGTTTTAGTTATTTTCAAATATTTTTAGATAATTCGAATATCTGAATATTTTAAATAATAAATTAAATATAAAACTTTATTTAATATTTTAATTATCCATGGTTTGGCTCAGAGGTTCAGATTTGATTCTTTCAGATACCAATTTGTTTTTGGCCCATTTAAATACTTTGCCAGTTTCAAGTTTCAGTTCCGATTTTGGGTTCAATTTGATTATCGGCTCCGGATATTCGCCCGGACTTTCCCTGATAGCGAGGATCAATCATGCAAATACATTTTATTATTAAATCCCCAAAAGAAAATCTATTTGCAAAATCAACCCCTTATTAATAATCCCTCATTGTCTTTTAGAGCCGCACTCTCACCCCGGCTCACGCGAGTCCCCAAACACAATAAACCTAAACCCTAGATCGCGATCCGTAACACCAGCTCCGCCTTTCACCAACACTCCTAATCCTCCCAGGTAATCTTCTCTCCTATTAAACAGATCTCTCTATATGATTAATCATTCTCTTTCTATCGATAGATTTGATGATTATCTTTGCTGAGATTAGAATCTTTGGTTGATTCGTTACATTCATAATCAGGTGAGAGATTCGAATCGATGGCGGAGCATTTAGCTTCAATCTTCGGAACCGAAAAGGACAGAGTGAACTGCCCTTTCTACTTCAAGATCGGCGCGTGCCGTCACGGAGACCGTTGCTCCCGTCTCCACAACCGTCCCACAATCTCCCCAACCCTCCTCCTCTCCAACATGTACCAAAGACCCGACATGATCACCCCCGGGGTCGACCCCCAGGGCCAACCCCTCGACCCGAGCAAGATCCAAGCCCACTTCGAGGATTTCTACGAAGACATCTTCGAAGAGCTCGACAAGTTTGGAGAGATGGAAAGCCTCAATGTCTGCGACAATCTCGCCGACCACATGATCGGCAATGTCTATGTCCTCTTCAAGGAAGAGGACCAGGCCGCCGCGGCGCTAAAGGCGCTGCAAGGGAGGTTTTATTCTGGCCGGCCTATTATCGCTGATTTTTCGCCCGTGACGGATTTTCGCGAGGCGACTTGTAGGCAGTATGAGGAGGATAACTGTAACCGCGGCGGGTATTGTAATTTTATGCATGTGAAGCAGATTTCGAGGGAGCTTAGGAGGAAGTTGTTTGGGAGGTATCGGAGGTCGTACCGACGTGGGAGTAGGAGTAGGAGTAGGAGCAGGAGTGTGAGCCCGAGACGGAAGAGAGAGAGAGGGGATGTTAGGGAGAGGGAGCGTGGTGGTGGTGATCGTCATGGGAATGGGAAGAGGAGCAGTGAGAGGTCGGAGAGGCATGATAGGGATGGTGGAAGGAGGAGACATGGTAGTCCGAGACGGAGCAGAAGCCCTGTTGTGAGAGAAGGTAGTGAGGAAAGGAGGGCGAGGATTGAGCAATGGAACCGTGAAAAGGATGAGGGAGTTTAATGTGTTTTTTTTTCTTTTCTTCTGCATTGGCTGTGATTTGATTGTCTCTGTACTGGATATTTTTTATTTGGTGTTTTCTTTTTAGAACTTGAGAGTGGTCATGAGACGCTGGCTTCCTTAGATAAAAGTAAGGTGAACTGTTTTTTTTTCTTGTTTAGAAAGACTAGTTCGTGTGTAATGGATCCTTTGGTAGTTTTGTTGTTGTTCTTCAATGATTGTCCCTCATAAGGTTCTCCTGCAAGTTTTAACATGATGTCATGTTTGTAGAACTTTGTCCCAGTTGATCGGATAGAGCTATTTGGTTTCTAGGCAGATCATCATCAACTTTTATGTTCCACTTCTCATGTTTGTTTGTATAACATTCCAAGTATTTGCATCAATAACAGGCCAAGCTTGAGTTGTTTAGGGTCATATAGGGTACTGTTTTCAACTGAGGTTCAAAATTCAAAGTGATTAAGCGTCAGCAACGGCACTTTGAGGTAATAATATTGATGTTTACCTTAATCTACAACATTGGGCACACTGTGAACTTATTACATCTAGATTCAGCGTAAGCTATAAGATACAAAACATATATGAATCTCCAATGTATGCTATATTATATCATCAATCTTTACATCTTTCTGCACTGAGTTATCTGAACTTCTGAAAGGTTGAGCTCATTGATGAACATGGAAGCCAGAAGAATGCTGCTTCTGTTTTATTTTCATCTATCATAAGGATGATACGGCTAGGAAAAAGCTCAACTTCTTTTATTCATTTTTCATTTCGACTTTTTCTTACCCTCAAATATTTTAATCATCTAACTTCCATTAATTTTACTTAATGAACTATAAAATATCAAACTAGTATTGGTTGATAGGGTTTAATAAACCCAACATTTGATGCATGTAAATGAACAGTCACCTTTTGGGTTTCGTTTTTATCTTTTAATAACAGCAAAAAAAATAAACAAACAAACAAACTCGTGGTGTTGAGACAATCCATGACTTAGTTATCTGAACGTTTTGGATCGCTGACTTTGTCTTCTCCGTTCTGCTTCCGAGTGTAGAAACTAATGATCTTGTTATCCAGTTTGTAGTATGCCTCCATTCTCTTCAATGGTTTCAAGCTTAAATCAATGAAATGTACCTACAAGAGAGAGACCACACCTTATGTTAAAATGACAGACCACAAAACAAGAATATTTTTAAACAGATCATACCTTGTAATCAAATGTCTGATTGGTCGATCTTAGACAGACGGCATCACAAGAAGGTTCTGATGAATCCCACGCATTCCTCAATCTAAAACTGATCATAAGACTACAGTCCTTGGCAGTTGCAGCAATCAGATAGTCCTTGACGATCTTCAAGCTTTCATCTAAAGGTAAACCATGCAGAAACTCCTCCTCCTCCAACACTCCAGGATCTTTACATATAGGACAAGGCTGGTTGATTATATTGTAATAACAATGAATCGCTCCTTCAATGTCTAACTTGTCCAGCTTCTGAACTTCAAGAAGCTTATCAAGCACTCCTGAATCATAGACGGTATCAGATACTAGCTGTAGAAAGCATTTTGTCCTAACACCATCATCTGATTGGATGAAGCCTTTGAGTGCTTCTTCGAAGGCGTGTGCAGTTTCAGGGCTGGTTCTTCCTGTGCTCTCACCAGAGCCGCCTAGAACGAGAGAACCGTTCAAGAACACGCGGAAATTGTTCTGTGGGATAGAGTATAAGGCTTTTATAGCTTCTGATACTCTATCTTTGGATCCAGAGAATAGATCAAGAGGATCATATTCACTTACTTCAGATATCTGCAGAATAGGTGACATACTTAGAAGACCTTTTTCAGCAAGTTCTTTAAGGTTCAAGAACTTTGCTATTTACCTCGTTTTGTTCCAACTTTAGGAGTTGGTGCATTTTGAAACGGCTGACACCTCTTTTGAGCTTGTTTTCTTCACTTATGAACCTTGAGGTTGGAAGAAATCCACATTTGGGCTACTTCATGGAATCAAGGACAGTGAGTTTAGGTTAAGGACTGTAATGAAAAGTGACTTATGAAAGAAGAGTACCTTTATTTCAACACTTAAGCAGTCACCACCACCACCACCACCAGAAACCCCTGGCAAATATAGTTTATAATGATTTAATAATACTCATGGACTAACACAAACTCATATAGTTTCTGATGATAATTGGTTATTCACCTTGAGAAAAAAGTGAATGATCATTCAAAATAAGAGCAGAGTCATGACTAGTATCAACATTAGCTGCATTAACACGCCACGGTGGACGCTGCTTAGTAACTTTCTTATCAACAGATTCTAGAAACTCCTTTGACACAGAAACACGTACCTTCAACCATTTACCCTAAACCCATCAGCTTTATTTTACCAAAACAAAAATGCCTCATAGGCCAATAAAAGAAAGAGTATTGTTAAACTTACTCCAGCGTCTATATGTTTAGGGCCCAAGAGTGGAATAATCACATCCTTAACATATCTTTGTTCAACAACTTCCTTGTTTGGTGATGAAATTAGCTCTTTGGATTCCTTCCACAGAAGCTGCTCATCGGTTGTTAAAACAGACGCAACAACACCGTTTGATTTATCAGTTTTTGGAGCCTTTTGTATACGAATCACTTTCCCCACCTAAAATAAAATACATTTTACACACAAAAAACACTATTCATTTTTAAACATGATGATGATTCTGCATCTTTGATTCAAAGGGGACACACTAAAAATAGAATCTGAACAGAACCAACATAAGTCAAGTATGGTCAAAGGAGATGGAACTAACGAAGAGAGGAGAGGATCCAGCGTAAGCGAGGACGAGATTGGCACCTCCTTCGCCTCTGTAGATCCAATCCGATGCATCTCTCTCCTCCAGAATCATCTTCTCTTCCACACCTTTTTTTTTGTTAATTAATCCTTCGGTTTTTTTCAAAAGGAAACAGGACAATGGGTTATGAACAATTCTGGTTTGAATAGAAGATAGATCGATCAATTCGAGGCTTTCTTTTGTCTTTGGTCTCTCTCTGTGTGTCTTTGTTGGCTTTGTACAGAGTCAAATTGAAGCTGACCTTTGACAGATAGTAGCGTATATGTTCGTATTCTTTGTCTACGTGGAGAGAGTAACTCCATCTGTTGTGTCGTACTCTAAAAAATAGTATTATTTCATTTTCTTAAAAATATTTAGTTAGTATATTTTTATATATTATAATTTATTTTATTTCAATAAAAAGTTATCGTTTCTAAGAAAAGCATTTTTAAATATAAAAAGGTTCGACAAGTAAATCATTTTCAGATCTGATTTGAGACAAAACTCCAACTTGGTTGTTTACAACGATGATGGCATTGGTCCTTGCATGTGGTGCCTTCGCCCTTCTCTCATTTCACTCTACGCCTTTGGGAACGTATTGATCCTTTAATTATACGCATAGATCCTTTATTTATCTTTCGCCAAAAATTAGATTGTTGTGAATAACAGATCAAAGCCATTTCATTTTCCTTATGTCATTTCCTTTCGAATTTATTCTCCCTTACATGTTTTGATGGTGATAATAGAAAATTTTGAAAAGATGAAAAAAGAAAAAGGAAAGACTGGAGTTTAATTATGTATTGAATCCAATCTATACTTTGGAGTTTGGACTGTGTATGATATTTAGAATCTTATTTAGGTTTTTGGATTATGTATGAACTTTATCTATGCTTTTGAGTTCTCAAAACATAATGAAATCTATTTATATTAAGAAGAGTTGATTCACTCTTGCTCATCCACGTCATAAAATCATTTCTTCTTATTATGCCACATGTACACAGCAAAACGATGCGTTCCATTGTTCACAAGTTATGGGCTTATTGCCTTTTCTGGCCCACCATCATTTTTCATCCTGACCTGTTAAGAGTGATATGTTGTCTAGCTTCTCATTCATCAACGAAATTAGGGTTCTCCCTGTAACTCGATGCTAGTCGTCATGGAATCTTCTGTGAGTGCTTTCCGTGTGACGATCCAGTTTCGTAGAGGCGAGCCTTCCACCACAAACCGTCTTAAACGCATTAATCATCGCATTAACTCCTCCACCACGATCTCTAATCACTATTTTCGCATCCTCTCCGAGTCGGTGGAGGCACATGTATATATAGGTCCGTTTCCCTCCTCTGATAATCATTTACAAACCTCTCTCACCATACTTATTTGTTTCGAAAGGCTTCCTTCAAAGTTTTCTTATCCTAGTTGAAGTTCAGCCGGTCCTTTTCCACCGTCGAGATTTACCTGCTCCGGTTTTGCTCTGAGAGGCGAGGAATCCCAGGCGTGGTGGTGAATTGATGTGGGTTGACATGCTTTTGGTGAATCACAGAACTTCATCCTAATAACATGTAAAATCGCCAATCTAACACATATTTTGGAGATTCTTATCTGTGATTCATGTTCTTAACTGTTAAAATATTTTTAATGTATGCAGTGTTGTAAAAGCATTGTTGGTGGTGACTCAAGTTACAGCTACATGAGTGGCTCAGGTCAATTTGCTCAGAACACAGAAACAACGTTACTCAGAATTCATCTCATACATCGTTAGATATATGCAACATTCAATAAAATAAGGTAACAAACTGACGAAAGAAAAATCATTGAGTTTGATTGTAATAAGTACTAATTATAATAATTTTATTGATATTTACTTTGCAGGATGTTGGAAAATCAGTGCTGGACAGCTATTCAAGAGTACTTGAACTTCTGGATTTTAACATATTTGCTTGAATTGATCATGTTCCCAACATCACAAAATGACAAAAGCATGAAAGGTAGTGAATAAGTTATATGTTTTCGACATAACTTCTATGTTTCCTCTTTTCTTTATGTTTTCATCACCACCTCAAAATAATTTTAGATCAAAGTTAATGATATGTGTTTTGTAGGGCATGTGATTTTTTTTGTGGTTGAGTCCAGCAGTTCTATGTTTCTTCTTTTCCTTATGTTCTCATCACCATCTGTAAATTATTTTAGATCAAAGTTACTGTTATGTTTTTTTTTGGTATGGGCATGTGAGTTTCTTTGGTAGAGTCCAGCACCAGCAGACCCCAAGGGTTGAAGGCGGCAAGATCAAATGAAGAGACATGTAGATCTAACAACGTCAGATGAGGTGGAGAAAAATAAAGCTGATGTGAGGCAAGAGCTGAGAGATAATCTTGGGAAAGCAGAGGAAACTATTAAAAGCTTTGAAATCAAGGACAAAGCATTGAGAGAAAGAAAATGTTAGAGGTTAGACATGGAAACAAAGAAAACAAGGAATGAAGATCTTCACAAAAATTTGAACATAAGATTTTTAAATAGTTTGGAAGGATCAAGTATGATATAATCTTCAAAGGAGTAATTTAATTATATAAGTGGTTTTGTCTTTCGTTGTTGTTGTTGTTGTTTCAGAATGTATGTTATATGCTGCCAGAGACATGTAATATAGATGCGTCAACGCGACGTTTTGGTACAGAAGAAAGAACGAGAGGCCATTGTGAACTGTGGAGGAATGATATGGAGCATGTTGTGTTACGAATGTAGGTTTTGCAAGCTCAGATTCATAAGATCTCTAAGGAGGAAATGGTGGCAGCTAGGTATTTTCCTGATAGCATCTCCATTATGCTTCTCACCTCTTGATATTCTTGGTCACCTCTTGGAAACGTTTCAAGGGTTCACAATTATCATGATGTTCTTTCTAATTAAGAGAGTTTCTCTTTTTTTTTTATATATATATATATACGTGGTAAAACAATCATATAAAGTTTTCTAAAGGCTTTGGTCTATGTATATCTTCCTATGCATTGTGATATATAACTTCTACGGGCATGTGTCTGTAAGATGTGATGAGTGTAGATTCTTTTTATATGATAAAAACAAACATGTTCAATCCGTACAAACATATCTTAGCCCATCTTTTAAGTTTTTTTTTTCTTTCCAGTACAACTGTTTGTTAATGTATCAAGCTATCAACTTATTGGATCTGTAATAAAATATAAAATATTATAGTTTTAAAAGTATTTTTATTTTATGAAACCAGTCATTGTAAAATTTATGTATTGTATAGTAATTAAATTTTCCATTGATTTAAACTATTTTATTTTAATGAAACAAAATATATTCAAATATGGAATTAATTTGATTTTAAATATTTATATAATTAAATTCAAAAATTTATGTATAGTTATAGTGTGTCCATAACCCATCTATTAAATATGTTTAACATTTAATTAATGGTATTTTTAGCTAAAACTAATTTTAAAATAAATTTAAATTATTAATTTATTTATTCGCCCGTCCTACGGGTGGGTTTACCCTAGTTATGATATATATGAATTTCTGTATATTAACATTTATTTTTTCAGTTGGATCAGCTGAAAGTTCATTTGGAATAATCCCTTTTGGATTTGAAAATTTTGGTCTAGGTGCAATTTGGACTTTAACAAATAATGTCTAATAAATTTATTTATCTATTTAGACATGCCCATTTAAACAAAGAAAGCCCATTTGACATCTCTAAACATTATGATTTTCCTAAAAATTATGATTAATTAACAATTTAAAGAGAGAGCTAAATACAAATAATTTAACAGATATAATTGTATAAAAAATAAATAATAAAAATAATAAAACATACTTTAGATATAGTTTCATAAAAATATGTAAATTATGTATTTTATTATTTTAAAACTGTTATATAACGAAATTAGTTTTTTACTAATACAAAAATTATCATAAACTATAATCTATTATTATAAAGAAGAGTTCATTCCCTCATATTGTGCCACGTCACTAATTCGTGCTCCAACAACACGCCACGTGTCCCATCTCTATAAACTTTGTGTTTCATTAAGTCATATATTTCGTGTGATTGGGCTTATTCCGTTTGTGTTATTGGGCTTATAGTTTGATGTGGAGATAGCCCGATAGTCTTGCAGAAACTATATTTATGCTTTCACGAAACATGGAAATTTACGGTTATTCTCTCCCCTTTGTTCTGCGGCGACCAAAAAATAATCGTCTGGTTCTCTATTACCTTCAATGGTGTTTTGAGAGATTTTTTGACTCAGATTAATCTTCACTCGCATCTCTTTGTATTCACTTTTAGTAACTGAAACTCTCTGAGATACAAATGCTTCCCTTTTATGGCCTTCTTAAATCCATAGTTAGACGTGAAACACAAACTGACATTGAATGCTATGAGATATTCCTCTGCAACGCGATGTATCAACAACTATAAAATGGTTAGCCTTTTTATTTTACAATAGATCATATATTTTTTTAAAAACATTAAAATAATATAGTAAATAAATTTACTTATACTAATATATTTACTTTCTAATATCTTAAGTTCACAAACTTCTTATTGAAAATAATAAATTTGATTAAATAAATATTATATAATCCAAAACTATAATAAAACACTTTAGCATGTTATATATAAATAATTGATTTTAAATGAAGTCAGAATATAT